ATATACTATATACTATACACAAATTGTTTGAAGCTGTTATAAATGTATCAAATATAATAAAAACTTGTGAGTGAGAAAATAAAAAGGGTATTGTGTTGAAGAGTTTTCACATGCAGTATTTGGTGATATATTGACAGAGGTTACATAGTGTTTTACACTTGAGCTATGCAGTTAACTGTGGTTAACATCACCTTTTGATGTGCTTCTTATCATGTATTTCCAACTTCCAATAAAACATGTTTATTGATGTAACTTTACAAAAATGTTACAAAATGATAAATAGCTTAAGATTTATTGTCTTTGGTTATCAACAGGAATAATGAAGGATTCTTTCTCTAATGAATTGTAATGAAATCAAAATAACAGTTTTTGTTAATAGCAAGTGTTCACATGGTGTTTATTTCAGTTATATTATTTTATGTCTTTCCTTCACATGGTTCATAAAATCAGTTTATGATATATGTAAGTTGCGTTATTGTTGTGAAATACTGTTGATGAAAAACATCCATATGTTTGATCTTATATGAAGATTTCAAAAGTGATACAGTACAATTTCTTTATGATGAGTTTGAAATTCTCAGATGATTCAGTGCTTGAATAGTTTCTCTTAAACATTTTTCATTACAGCTAACATACAATATATATTAAAAGAATTGTGGTGTTTTTGCAGAAAGTATTTCGTATCAAACATGGCCAGGACAGAAGAAATTACATTAAATACTTCATATAAGAACATCAAAAAATACTACATATAAGTACATCGCATACTTCACATTAGAAAATAAAATACTACATATAAGTACATCAAATGCTATATATTAGAACATCAAATGTAAATATTAGAACAATTACAAATTAGCACATCAAATACTACATATAAGAACATTAAATACTACATATTAGAACATCAAACACTACATAAAAGAACATCAAATTATACATATAAAACATGAAATACTCTTATTAGAACATCAAATACTACATATAAGAACATCAAATACTACATATTAGAACATCAAATACTACATATAAGAACATCAAATACTACATATTAGAACATCAAACACTACATAAAAGAACATCAAATTATACATATAAAAACATTAAATACATGTACTATTATTAGAACATCAAATACTACATATTAGAACATCAAATACTACATATTAGAATTTCAAATTCTACAATATTATAGACATTAAATACTACATGTACATTTATATTGAACATTAAATACTAAATTATTATCTATGAACTATTATTATCAAATACTACTATATTTATTTCAATTATTTATTTTATAATATTTATCGTTTTGTGTAATTTAATTAATTATATTAATTCCTCTCGTGTTGTGTTGTGTGTATTATTCTTGTTAAGAATTTGTAAATATTATTTACATATACATTGTTATCTATTATAATACTTATCTATTATTAATTATGTTTTTTTTATATCATTCTAATACTACATTATTATTATATTATCATTTTTGTTAATATCATATATTTATATTTTTGTTATGTATCATGTTGTATATTATCTATGTTTATTTTGGTTATTCTATGTTAATCATATAATATAATATATATTATATATTTATTTCTAAATGCATTTGTTTGTTCATAGTCAATTGATATATTATTATTATGTTTTATATCTAATATATTATTTTGATATCTTTGTATTTTTCAGTTATATTTATTTTTCGTTCTATCTTTAGATGATCCTATTATTTGTGTGTCTGTTGGCTCCTTGGTTTTGTCTTCTGTTATTTTTATGTCCATTATTGTTGTTTTGATTATCTCATTTCTTATATTATTTTATTCTTGTTCTATATTATGTATCCCTGTGCTTATATTATTCTTGTGTTATCTTATTGGTAGTAATACTATTTTGGGTAATATTGTGACTTTCCTTTTTTTCTATTTATTTATAAGTACAAGAGAGTTAAACTGATACAATGAAAGTCCAATGACAGCCAGCTACATAATGTAAGCTACACTATTTACTGCTTAATTTTGATGTTACAGTTTTAAATAAAGCTTATTGTTGACATGTGTTTTGTCAAGGCTAGAAAAAAGTCATATTTAAGTAAGACTTAGAAAAGGTTTACATACATTGTTTCTGCTAAGCATATTATACACATACTGAATACTTTAGAGAGGCTGTAGGCTTGCCTGTCTCGGTACTGGCTGCAAGGCTATTCATAATTCTTGTTAATTTGAATATATAAGGCTTGTGGTGGCTCCTTGAAGTTTAACAGTTCTAATCATTTATAGCAATTTATCACCGGCTGAGAATCTCAGTAAAGTTGGGGTATTTATTCTAAATCTCCATTCTTTATTTGTGATAAACTCCGCCAACAACAAAGCTTTGTAACCCCGTTGTTGATGCTGCCAAATAAAAATCCGTGTAAACTTTCAGATATGTTTCTGTCTGATTAGGAACATCAGGCAAGTTTATACAAAATATATCCAGTATGTAATAGTTCTCCTATTTTTATTACAATCTTTATTGTTATAAGCCCATTCTTTTTTGGTTAAAGAATGATAATATTAAATAACATGGCTACAGTGTTGTTGTTTTGAGCAATAAATGATGTGTTATTCAGCCAATTTGCAAAGTTCATTAGAAGATGAATTTTGGGCTGGCTTTTTAGTGGGATTTTTGGAGTTACATGCACAGTAGTGGTGTAATGTTGGTATTAGTTTATGTAATTAAGGGAAATTCTTGAATGATATCAATTTGCAGTATAAGTTGCTTCTTGCAATCAAGCTGAGCTCCTATACTTCTCATTTTGCCAACTGTGCGAGATATTTACCATTGAAGATGAAGTACAATCAACAAGCAAAATGAATAAAGAGAAACTGCAGCTGTTTGGGTCTTGTTTTATTTTTATGCTCCCACCATTGGGGTCAGGATTGGATATAGATTTGTCCCTGTCTGTATGTCGACCAGATTGTGTCACATGTAACTCAAAACATTTTATTGTTACAGCCATGTAACTTTTTAACAATAGTTGTCTGTGTGTTAAATAATAAACCTGGGTATCTTGACTCAAATCTATTTAACATTGGCAGACTTATCCTGTATGATTAAGCAAAAAATTGCATTTTTTTTTACTTGTGTCATGTGAAACTCCAAATGTATAACTGCTAGAACCATGAAACTTTCTTAGTATGAACTTACACACATAGGAGAATTTTAATGCTTTGGTTGGTGTCCAGAACTGCATATGATCAGAACTGAATGTCTGTCTGTCTGGCCATCCCACAGTCTGTACATAGACATGTTTGTGCTCTATATCAAATGGTCAAATGGTGGCGGACTTGTTTTGTTTGTTAAAAATTCTTTGCCATGTGAACTAAGATCTGATTTACAATCTGAAGATACTGAATCAATATGGCTCGAAATGAAACTTGAAAAGCAAAAACCATTTTTGATAGGTTACATTTATAGACCACCTTCGTCATTAACTTCATGGAATGATAACATTGAAGAAATTCTTGAAAAAATATTTGTTGAAAACAAAGAAATAATTCTTTTTGGAGATTTTAACTATAATTTTGGAACTACAGGTTCAAATAACTCAGCCTGGAATAATATTATTAATACATTTAATCTGTCACAACTTATAACACAGCCTACAAGAGTTACATCAACATCATCAACTATTATTGATCATGTCTATAGTAATCAATCACAAAATATATCATACATTACTGTTCCTATACTTTCTATTAGTGACCACTTTCCAATAATTTTCACAAAACGAACTATCAAAAATGTTAAAAAAGGTCCAATTCATTTTACAATCAAATACAGGTACTTAAAGAACTTCAACGCTGATAAATTTCTAGATGATCTGTCAAAACAACCATGGTCCCTTATTGATATGTTTAATGATCCAGATGACGCTTTAGACACTTTTAATAAATTATTTTTGGAAACTCTCAATATACATGCTCCATACAAACAAAAACGAGTTAAGCATAAAAACCAAGCTGATTGGTTCAATGAGGATATAGCTAATGCAATACATAACAGGGACTATGCAAAAAAAAAAAATCATGTTGATAACTTCAAATATTGAAATTAAAAGTGAAAAAACTTATTCATACAGCAAAAAAAGATTTCTTTCATTATGAAATAAACTCAAATAAGAAAAATCCTAAAAAACTTTGGAAAACTTGAAAAACTATCAGGCAAAACAAATGTTCAACAAAATTCTTACATAAATGATGAGAATGGTTTACCGATAACTGATCCAAAATTAACAGCAGAAACCTTTAATACTTTCTTTGCAAGTGTATTTGAAAAAGCTGAAAATGTATCAGAAGGATTATCATATGAATTGAAAACAGCTCTACAAGAATCGGTTAAATCCAAAATTTCAAATCAGTCAAATAAATATGAAATACCCTTTGTTGACTTAAGCTATGTAAATCAGAAACTCAATAGTCTAGACGCCACAAAAGCAACAGGCCTAGATGGTATTGGTGCAAAATTCCTAAAAACAGCAGCTGATGTCATAAGTAAACCTCTATGTAGTATTATAAATCTAAGCATAAAAAGTGGAAAATTACCAACTCAGCTAAAACAGTCAAAGGTAACACCAATTTACAAAAAAGGACCAAAAGGGAGACAAAAATAATTACAGACCAATTTCAGTACTTCCCCTTATCTCTAAAATAATTGAAAAACATGTATCAGACCACTTTAAGCTCTACTTAGAAACAAACCATTTACTTTACACTGCTCAATCAGGTTTTCAGGGCACATCATTCATGTGAGACAGCTCTTACAAATATAATTGATAATTGGATCAGTGCTCTGAATGATGGCAAACTTGTCGGAACTGTTTTTCTAGACTTATCAAAAGCCTTTGATTTAGTAAACCACCAAATTCTTCTAGAAAAACTACCTTTTCTATAATTTCTCTTCACATACTATAGATTGGATAAGATCTTATCTATCAGACAGGTCACAAAAAGTCAATGTGTCCTGGTGTTTTATCTGAACCAGCTGAAGTTGTCTCAGGAGTGCCTCAGGGCTCAGTCCTTGGGCCCCTACTATTTTTGATATACATAAATGACATCCATCTTCATGTTAAACAGTCAACTACCGATATGTTTGCAGACGACACTTCCCTTACTTTCTACTGGAAGTACTTTAACGGAAATGAATTATAATCTCCAAACAGATCTTGATAGTGTTAGCACATGGTGTAGGCAAAATGCAATGATATTAAATGCACAAAAAACTAAGGCCATAAATTTCTCTTTAAAAAAATACTAAATCAAAAAAATACTGCTTCATCTACTCTGCACCTTCAAAACAAAGAGATAGAATTTACAGACACTGAAAAACTGCTAGGAGTCCAGGTTGACAAAAATCTTAAATGGAAAACACAAATTCAAAATATTATTAAAAAATGCAATTCACAGCTCTATTTGCTTCTTAGAATCAAACAGTACCTTGATCTCCACTCCAGAAAACTCTTTTTTAATGCCTATATTTTGCCACATATTGACTACTGTTGCACTATTTGGGGAAACTGCAGTAGTGAATTACTTTCGCAAATTGTCAACTTTCAAAAAAGAGCTGCAAGAATTATTTTAGACAAAAGTTTTGATACCCCATCAAATATTCTATTTAAAGAATTAAATTGGATGTCCTTTGATCAAAGAATTATGTACAAAAAGGTAATCCTCATGTATAAATCTATAAATGAACCATCCTTTCCTATTTATATGAAAAATAAATTCCAAACAATAAATGACAAACATGACTTTAACTTAAGATCTATACAAAATGAAAAACTAACTGTACCCAAACCAAAAACAGAATTTTTTAGAAAATCATTTAATTACTCTGGTCCTGTGGTATGGAACAGCATACCAATCCATATTCGAAATTCTGATACCCTGAGGAAATTTCAATCCTCCTATATCCAGTGGCAATTTTCTAACTAACTGTTTGTACATATTGTTTCAAAAACAAATACTTTCCATGCTGAAGTTATGAAAATGTCACTTCTCTATGTAAGAAGAAAAAATTGTTTACTTATTTATTGTATTGATATGATGTATAATGTACATATTTATGTTGTCTAAATGTTGATTGTGATTGTATTTTATGTTGTTTTGTATATACTGAGGCCGGCATGGAAGATCGGGAAACTGAATGTGTTAGCCTCATAAAATAAAGTCGTTACTTACTTACTTACTATATAACCTCAAACATATAGTTTCAGAAGCCTCTAAACATTCTAAGAGTAGTTGTCAGTATATAATAACATGATCAGTAGAGTAATGTCCCTTTGTTTGTGTGTTGATTAACACTAACTCAATACTGAAGAAGTGAAATATGTTTTATAAAAAAAATCATGACGAAATTTACCAAAGTATATACATGTATTATTAAAAGAATTTTTCTGATATAATTATGTCTTTTTGCTGGAAATATTTTATGGCCAGATAACTTTCTATGGACATGATGTCCATAAATAGTTTTGAGTGGAGATTGAAAGGGGGCTAGAAATGATTTTCTTTGGTATGAGTAATAGGGAAACAACAAAAGATAAATTCACACCTATCTTTTTCATATTTTGTAGCAATTATTGAAGTGTCTGTTTACAAATAGGAAAGATACTGGACTTATTTATGGCTAACCCCCTTCATGTATGTCCATTAAATAATAAGCAGAGCTCTTTGAGTTGGAGAGGAGCTTGTCAGTTAGTTATCTTATTTATGAGGGACTGTGGTAAACTGTGCTATCTTAAGATAGCTAGCAGGGATAAACTCTCCCACTGATATAATCACTGACTACAGAACAAAAATAAGATAAGGAAAAACAAAACACTGTTTCCATATTTCATCTTGTTTTGGTACAATTGTTCATAATATATACTAGCTAAAGTTTAACTTAATTCATGTATGAAAACCTTTAACATTATTTCAGCACTTATATCTGCTACCACTTCTGATTTGAATAATTTTGATTTTTACATAGAGTTTATGTTTTATTCAAATTTAATACACTAGGTATAAGATCAATGTAGCTTCCTTAGCACAGCCTAAGGTCTAACTGACATTGAACTACTTGTCCCGGCTGTTCTGGGTTTGAATTCCGTGAGCAAATCCAACTAACTTATATAAAATCAAGTGCCCATTTCTTTCAAATGAACATGTCCAGTAAAACAGTGATTTCCTTGAAATGACCAATGTATATGTGCTAAAAACCAGTTTCTCCTCCGCAAGTGTGGAAGTTGACGCCATATAGCCTTACATTAGTCATTGCTTGTATTTTATTTTAAAGTTTACAAAAAAATTCTGTTAGACAATGGATTTTGTTTTCGTCACTAGAGTTAAATGTAACATAATTATGTTAATATTTTTGTTTCTAAAGAAATTGTAAAATTATTTTATGTTTAACTTTTGTATTATAAAACCAAAGTATTAGAGAAAATCCTACTGTTTAAAAAAGCTGTTATTTGCTCTCATTATGGTTTAAGCTTACCCAGCGGCACAATTAATACATTTAATAGTATTGCACTATAACCACTGAATGTTCCTATTAGATAAACTGATATGTTTGAGATAGGGAAAATATTGATTCTTATAGAGGTATACTAGCATTTTTCTGGGGATTTTCCATGTTTTTTATTGTGTTATAAATGTCAATTAGTGGGGGAATTGTAACAGTTCCTTGGCCTCTCAGGGATTTTCTTTTAATACTAAAGATTCATTAATTTTAGAGATTTTAAAGCCATTTTTTGTATGTAGTTAAGGCAGATATTTAAAACCCTCTTTTTTTATATGCGTAATATTTCTCCCGTTTCACGTTTTTTAAAAATGTTACAAAAAAACATTATTTTTCAAACCCTTTAATTTTAGAAAATAAAACATTCATTTGGGAAAAAAGTCCTTTTTTTTACGGTAAAAAACTCTTTTTAATTTTCAATATAAAAATTTGTCCAGGGGGCCCTATTTTCAATTTTCCCTTTAACTAAAATTAAAACAGGGACTTCAGAAACATCATTAAGTTGGCTGTAGGTATACCAATAACTCTTAAATAACTTAACCACAAAAAGCTTCTCTTTAAAACATAAGAGAGCATAGCAACATTTTGGCAGCATGTATGTCCATAAAAATAAACTATAGTAAATGTTAATAGTTCAAAGATTTATATGTTTTACAGTTTATGTCCTACAAGGTCTGGAACTAGTCTAAATTTATTTGAATTTTTAGATAGACTGGTCGCATAAGAGATGAATTCTTTATTTGCTGCTTTATTACGGGCAGTATTTCCAATCATGAAATCAATCTGTTTGCTGGGAAGAAACAGTGTTTTTGTGTCGCCTTGAAAAGGCAACATATAGGATATACTTTTGTCGGCGGTGTCGTTGTCGGCGTCCCCTAAAGCTTGTCCGGAGCATAACTCAGTCACTATAAGTCTGATTGACTTCAAATTTGGTATGCAAGCTTCTTTCAATAACCCGAAGTGCAGTGCAGAAGAATTAGTACTCTGCACTTCTTAATTTTTGAGTTATTGCCCTTTGTTAATTTTCATACTTTAATTTCGTCCAGGCCATTTCTCTTCAACTATAAAAGCTATGGACTTGAAACTTCATAGGATGATAGATCTCATTAAGAATAAGTGCAGTGCACAAGAACCGGTACTCTGCACTTCCTAATTTTTGAGTCATTGCCCTTTGTTAATTTTCAAACTTTATTTTTGTCCAGGTCATTTCTCCTAAAGTATAAAAGCCATGGACTTGAAACTTCATAGGATGATAGATCTCATTAAGAAGAAGTGCAGTGCACAAGAACCGGTACTCTGCATTTCTTATTTTTTGAGTTATTGCCCTTTGTTAATTTTCATACTTTATTTTTGTCCGGTCCATTTCTCCGAAAGTATAAAAGCTATGGACATGAAACTTCATAGGATGATAGATCTCATTAAGAAAAGTGCAGTGCACAAGAACCGGTACTCTGCATTTCTTATTTTTTGAGTTATTGCCCTTTGTTAATTTTCATACTTTATTTTTGTCCAGGTCATTTCTCCTAAAGTATAAAAGCTATGGACATGAAACATCATAGGATGATAGATCTCATTAAGAAAAAGTGCATGGTACAAGAACCGGTACTATGCATTTCTTATTTTTGAGTTATTACCCTTTATTAATTTTCATACTTTATTTTTGTCCAGGCCATTTCTCATAAATTATAAAAGCTATGGACTTGAAACTTCATAGGATGATATATCTTATTGATAAGAAGTGCAGTGCAAAGAAACTGCTGCTCTGCACTTCTTATTTTTTGAGTTATTGCCCTTTGTTAATTTTCTTGTCCTGGCCATTTCTCCTAAACTATATTGTTCACAAGGCGACACATTTGACTCGCGGAGTTCTAGTTTGGGGTTTTTTGTTACAAAATGAAATTTTGCTGTATTTACAGGGATTTGATGCTTAATACTAACTGATTCTTATGATGAAGAAAAATAATTAAAAAACCTTGTCTTAACATTGCAGACAAACAAGAGTAAACTGTCTGTCAGACATGAAGCAGGCAATATTGATGCAGTTAAATGACAAACTCACTGACTCATCATGTCTACTCTATAAATGTTACATAATTTAACATTAAAAAATTTGTTAAAACTTCAGATTTTTAATGATTTAAGTAGTACTACCTACAATCCAAATTTTAAACTGAATCAAAGGTTAATATGGGTCATCAGGTGAAGTATTTTGTAAGTGTATTTTAGGTCAGTTGACTGAAATATTTGACTGAGTTTGGATTAATTTCATCAGAGTAGATCTTCTGATACATTTAGAAGATAGAAAGAGCATTGTAAAAGTCTGGAGAAATAAGCAGGAGATATTTAAGAATTGCTATTTTTCTCTATATTTACAGGGTCGGGAATATACGGAACAGTTTTTACTGGAGTATCAAAGAGAAGATGGTGGAGAATGGATGAGGTTCAGGAATAAACTGGGAGAGGAGGTAAAGTACACCTACAAAAACACACGAGAACTATGCCACCCATACAGAGACAAGTCACTCTGTGTTTAGTGCACTCATGTCTGATCTTACTTCATATTGTTGCTTGTTTTAATTTTAGTATTTTAATACTAGATTCCAATTTAATCTGGTAATGACCAGTCTGAATAAAGTTTATAACAAAAGCCACATTTATTGTTTTGGAAAATAGTTGAAGAAATTCACATTTCCAAAAACATGTGATGAATGGTACAATAATTGTTATTTATGTATTTATTGGGTTCTCAAAATAACAGGTCTTATTGTGTGTGGCCTGACACTCAGAAATAAAGCTGTACTTTGAACAAGTATAATGTTTGTTGGTTAGTGTATGAGGTCTCTAGTGTATATTTCTTAGTTGTTTCAAAAAAATTTACATCTTCAAGATCAAAATGATAACAATCTGACAGAATATGAAACATACAGATAAATTTAGATCATGTAATATTAGATAAAAATCTTTCAGATGAGTTTTAGATATACTGGACTAAAGGGTTAATAAGTTTAGAAGTCATATATTTGCAAAATTGTAAAATTGTTTTTTTAGAGCCATTCCTTGAACAGTTTCAACGAGGCATCAGTCATTTGCAGTTTTAGGTGTAAGGGATACAAATCTCAATACAGAGTCTAGATAAAGTTGCCTCCCTTTGTAATAATACGTCAAAGAAACCTTGGGGAAATTGTTACATAATTACTTACAAAATTCCTATTTAGATATAAGACAATAGGTAATGGCATAAGTATTTGACTTTATTTATTTATATAATAGGCTGATTAATTGAATATTTGCACGAGGAATGTGTTTGCAGCAAGACAAATGGGGATATGTCTTGGTGTGGCAGTATAAATACCAAATTCCTAACTCAAGTAGGATAATCCTTTTTTCAGCTCTAAACACAGGTTTAGATTTTTTTACCCTCTCAAAATTCTCTTGTCTTCTTTGTGAGAAGTGGAAGATGTTTTTTTTCTGGCTTCTTTTATTTAATTTTGTTTCTTTTTGCTTCTTTTGTTTATTTTTGCTCTCTTGCCATGACTAAAATAAGGAAATTAAGTAATTTTTTGACTTTGAATAAAAAAGTGCAAAAATGCAAAGAGGAGATTTGTTTGAAATGCAAGTATCTAGGGTTTTGTAAACAATTTTCTAGTGTCAGTGATACAGATTTTTTGTCTGATTCCAATTTTCTAATTTATTAATTTACTGTAGAATCAAGAAAATAGGTGCATGTTAGAATATGAGTGCAAATGGAAAGAGGAAACTATTTCGAAATTTATATTTCATCCAAATAAAGCTCATTATTTTTCTTACCTGAAAATAAGGGCACATAATTATTTTGTCTTACTGTCAGTTTTGACGCCAAAAATAAGTGCATATATATTAACTTTGTTCATTAAAAAAAAATTGTCAACTATTTTGTATACATATTATAGTTAATTTTACTATGAGATGTTTTTAATATTAGTCAAAAACTTACACAAACTAAACTATTCAATCAAAGTAATACATTATGAAGGACTTTTTACTACTTAACTTTCTTCTGTTTTCTAAGTAAAGGTACATACTATGTCATTTTGTTTTATTAATGTATATCTAAAATAAGCACTTATATTTCCTTTCATATCTAAAATAGGCATCTATTCAGTAATCTATTTATAACTTATAACTACATATCTAAAATAGGCATCTTTTCAGAAGTATAATCATATAAGTACATATCAAAGACTTTACTCTAGGAGAGTCTTTCAAAAAAAAATTATTTATGAATTTTTGTGTTAAAATATTGAAAATTGTACAGAACTCTTGTTAGATATTATTGTGAGAAAATATTGGAGGTCAGTTATGACTTCTCCTGTTATATTCTGATAAGACAATATGGGGAAATAATCATGTTATTACAACAGCTTCCTTTCATACTGACTTGTGTTTCATTCCTTCAATTATATTTTCTTACCATTTCCATCAGATTATTTACATTTTTAACATTTCTTAGGTAGAAATGATCAAAATAGTTGATAAATCTTTCAAAATGGGTCTACAGAATGGCCAGAAATCTGTAGTATTATATTTATAACTTGGTGGAACAAAACACAAATTATATGTGTATAATTATAATAAAAGAAAGAATAATTAAAGTAAAACAACACTAGCAAAAGTTAACAAACTGAATAAAATTAATTTGTTGTTTGGGGTATAATCATACAAAAAAGTGCCTTTGCCATTACCTTGCTATTTTTTTTAATCCTGCATTAAATTTGGAACTGTCTACTGTAAAGTTAATGGAATCCATTATGAAAATGCTAAAATTAAGGAGACAAGTTAAGACTATATGGTATAAGATAGACTAGTGCAGGCTGATTTAGCTCTGGTGGTATTATATGACCTGTAATAATTGTAGCTAGCAGTTACCTCCCTTTATATGTTTTCATGTACATTAATATACATAATATATGGCATTGTTTCCATGGTGGATAAAATCATGAAATTCCAGACGTTAAACAAGGAGGTCACTATTTGTTAGACTTAGTTAAACTAACATATTTCTAAAATTCAACATTTGTATCTAACTTGAGAGATGTAGTTAAATAGTAATCCAATGAAATGATGCGGAAAATAGAGGTGGGAAAAAACAACAGTGTTAAGTAACATAGAATGAATAAGGTTCCGGTAGCCAGATATGATATGTTCAAGTCCTTTTTTAACACCAGTACTGGCTAATCTGCCCCAAAAGTAAATAAAAGTAAGCCTTAAGGCAGTTTTTGTATCTTTTTTTCCCCAAAAGATTTTGTCTGGGTTTATCTCTGTAAGTAATACCACATCAACGTGATGATATATCCAAGAATAACTTACTGTCTGTTCCCCATGCTGCAGTTATTTGAGTGCAAACTGCAAAACATTTGAAAGAAAAAAAAGTGACAAAATAATTAACAGAAATTTATTGCGTATCATGTGATGAAATTCTAGTCTATCTATGACGGGAGGAATTTAAGAAAAACACTTTTGATGTGGGGATGAAAAATTATAAGTAGGCAGTCACTGTTTTAGATTCCAGTGTCAATCAAAGTTGGGTATCGTGTCATTTACAGAGTGGATTTTATTCTAATATATAATATTATCATGTTCCTGACAATTTTGATGAGTTCAAAATCACATGAGATAACTAAAGATTGCATGGAGATTATTGCGAGATTATGTCAGTCAAACAAAACGGAGAGAAAGGTGCACCATTGATAACAAGCAAACAGCACAGCTGTGGCAACATGATGAAAGAATAACATTTTTGTCAGATTTTTTTCTTCCTTTTGCCCCATTCATCATTGACATCAAGAAGTTTGTAATGGCAAGAAAAGAAATAATCAAATACCACTATAATGTCTGGAAGAATGTGAAATAACAAATTCTTGAAGTAAAATATACACCAGGGTTTCCACATCTTAACATAAGGGTTGCTCACACGTTCAATATTATAAGTGTTAGTGAAATATTCATTCTGTTAGACTTTTTAAGGAGAGACAGGTGTTGAAAACATGCAAAACAAGTTTAAAATAAAAACATTAGCCAGGTGTTAAAGAAAGTTTTCTGTTGTGAAAAATCATTATATGACAACTGTGTGTCCACCTAAACATGCAGTAAAAAAACTTAAAAGTGGTTTTTGCTGATTTATTTAATGCAATTGATCATTTTGATTTTATATTTTCAGTTGTTTAAAGGAAATGAGAACCCGTATTTGACGGAGATGAGGCAGGTGTCGCCACCTATTATTGGGCGTAGAATACGATTTATTCCATATAGCAAGACTTTAAGAACTGTCTGCATGAGGGTAGAATTATATGGTTGCATTTGGCAAGGTATTATATTGTTTACATGTTTACTCACTCTTCTGTGGGTTTGAATCATTCTGGAGTGATGTTAGAGTGAATTTCTTTATGAATGTATTCATGTGAGAAAACTATGAGGGTTACTGATGCAAGTTTAGTGGTTCTGCTCAGGTGCTCACGTGACAGTGTTGGTGTGACACATGTTCACTGATATATACATTCATCTTTCAGAAATAACCTTTGATTGAAAAATATTACATCTCACTGAATGAGGCCTGTGAATTGAGGAGCTTTTGTTAGTTCTTCTGTATTTGAAAAGATTCTGCTCAAAAGAGTAAGAATTACATGACGTTGTGTTGATGCAGAAGATTTTCTTGTACCTGCTGCATGTATAACAAAAACTGGTGAAATACTGAAACAAATATATATATTTTACATATGTAAGTTGATAAAGATGTTAACAATAAGATTTGTACCCCTTCCCTACAATGATTATCAGAAATAAGAAAGGATTGCACATTTTTTTTGGAGTGTAAATTCTTTATGAAAGTTAGAATGTGTGGAAGACTTATATAATAACTGAAGTAGCTATATCAACTCTCCCACAGGATAAGTTTACAGAATAATCTCATAATTACACGTAGATAACTGCCAGAATGCTGCACACTGAAAGATTTGTTACAAATTAATTGGAGACGGGTGTGCAGAATCTGTGTGGAATGGCTGGAAAACTTCTATAAATCTTATTTGAATAACTTTACAAAGTACCGACAGAGACTAAATATCTTTTTTCTCTATTTGAAGATGTTTACATGTAAAGCTGGTGATTTACTTGTATGTTTACGTGACAATAGGCCTGCAAGGGCTTCTGGTAGCTCTCAATGATGGGAAATGTCTTCTTGATTTGTTTTTTTTTCTGAAATGCCTTGCAAAAATCTAAACAGTGGGAAAATGTTTTTTAGTGCAAGATTGTCAAATATATGTTAACAATTGTTAAGAGGCAAGAAAAATTGCTGGTTAAATCTAGTCTAGTCTTTGTGCTGTGTAAGAGAGCTAACTTTGTATGAACATTTTATTTACACCAACATGAATTACTTCCCTTGTAATGACTGTATTCAATCATACAAGGGATTTTAACAATGATAAACCATACACTATTTTTAATATGCTAGTGACATACAATTATTTATCTATTTCTAATATGCTTATTTAAGAAATGAAATCTATGGGAAGTTGTGAAACCACGGATTTATTGTAATTAAGATCCATGTTTATTGGACAGCATTTATTTATCATGATATATCTCCCAGCACCATATCACATGTCAATGTTCTTTTTTTGACCTCATGTATAATAATACATGTATCATATATTTACACACTTGAGAGTTTAAGTCACGTTAGATTTTTGTATTTTGATACTTTAATCATAAGAAAGGTTATCCTGCATGTTTATTTTATTTGTGTTATGAATGAATAACATGAATTGCTTCCCTTCGTAAAATTTTGTATTTAATATTTCAGATGGGGTTGTTCAGTATAATGTAAGACAAGGTGATCGTAGAGGAACAGAGCTGGATTTTGTTGATTTTACATATGATGGTATGAGACAAGAAAGTTTCCTACTAGATGGTTTAGGACAGTTGACTGATGGAGAGACTGGGGATCATAACTTTAGACTCGACAATCAAGCTATTGGCATAAAAGGGTATGTAATGAAACCAAAGAGAAGAAATAATTTTTTTTATATAGCAGATATAGTGTTCATGATTGGATATTTGAATTATGTTCTTCTAACCTTTAACCTACTGTAGTTAGGGTCTGTGCAATCTGACCAGGCAGTTGGTAGCTCAATTTTTGTTTTCATTTTGAAACTCCTTAAGACTTGAATGGACTGATCAAGTTGGGCAAATCTATTCCACATAATTAGGATGTTTAATATTCTAAGGATGAAAGGTATATTCTTGAGGTATATAAGGTAACATAAATCAAGAAAAATATAAAGCTGCTTATCATTCAAAAAGCAATATTTTAGAGATTTGCTTTATATTTTATGTTGATGTTGCAGACTAGAATAATTCACTAAATTTGTGACATGTATTTGATTTTGGATATGTTTACTGCAGGTATGAGTGGGTAGGATGGAGAAATGATTCACAGGAATTTCAGGGACCACTTATCATAACATTCAAGTTTGACCAAGTTCGTAACTTCTCAAAAGTTCTAATAAACTGTAACAACTTCTATTCAAAAGATGTCAGGGTCTTCAAGATGGCATTAATATACTTCTCTGTGGGTGGCAACCTTTACCAGAACCAACCAATCAAATTTGACTTTATAAGAGACAATATTGTAGAATATGCTCGTCCGGTAATGATCCGGTTAAACCACAATATAGGAAAGTATGTCCGGTTACAACTGTACTTTGATGCCAAGTGGATGATGATAAGTGAAATACAATTTGTGTCTGGTAAGTTGTTTATGTTAGATTTAGTGTCATTGATTAACCAAAAGAAATGAAACTACACAAAATATACTAACAAGAGAAAATACATGTATTTTATATCAAGACTATGTTATGTTACCGGAAATTTCATTAAGGGTTTTGTCGTCGTTGGAATAGATAATAAGAAAGAACAGAACGGTTAAGATTTTCTTACCTGTACTTTATATAGATAGGGACATTAAATTATTTTATGTGAAGTATTTATATAAGGTCTTCCTTCACCTGTGTTGAATCAAGGACAAGTTTGAATTTACGTAAATTGAAAATACATGTACATGTATATGATTTATCCGTAACATTTTTTTTTTCAAATACTTAGGTCTACAATATCAGAAATAATTATTGTTTGTTATATTTTTAGAACCAGCTAAAGGTAATTACACAGAGGAAGTTCCGCCACCGACCCGTCAACCACCACATATATTCCCGAAACCTAACAATGGTAATCATAATCATGAAGTTGACCTGGATGGTTATGAAAACAAACCTGGAAAACATGGTAATAATGGTTGTAACTCATATCTTATAGTCACTGTCAGGTTCAACAGTTTGTATGTGTATTGATACACTTGTTCTTAAAGAATATTTAAGCAAACATTCAATAAATCATTTTATTTCACATGCATAGTCACCTGGTGGTTAAGCTGTCAATGCAGGGATCATAAGTTCAAGTCTTTGTGAGTTAAAAGTCATTGATGTTTAGTTTCACAGTCAACCTATAATATAAACATGAACTTTAATCTAGATTTATGTTCATATTTAATTCTTTGAATATCTTAATTATAAATTGTTATGTAACACTTCTATTAGTACAGTGAGTTTTGTTTTTGTTTTAGACAAACCATCAGATAGCGGACCTGAAAAAGCACCTGACCAGAAGAACCCGGGCACCGATATATTCGGTATTATCATCGGATCATCGGCTGCCCTCATTACAATCCTGGTCGCCATCGTGATTTTCATTATATTTCGACATCGGATAAAAAAGAAGAAAAACAACCGTCGTTTGAAAGCGGCAATGACCGATAACCACAATACCATTTCAATCAATTTATCAGATCTGCGGAATTCAGCCAATGGAAAAATGTTAAACGGGAACCTGTATAATGGAGTGCCAGCTACTGATATGGATTCCGATCGTGAATGTTGTAGTGGTAAGAATTTTTTTTTCATTTTCTACAAAAATCTTTATGGTGTTGTAATATTTAGTTGCTCAGTTTCTACATTTAACGTTAAATGACATATATGTATCGTTACATTTTGGTTATTAGTTTATTTTTTTTTGTATACATATATATGTTTGAGTTTATAATGTGTTAATGTTATTTCATTTGGACTCATGCTAAGTTCAATTGTTTTCAGCAATGTTGATAAGTCAACTTAGTACATGTAAAGAAATTTGAGATGAAACCAATGTGTGCTGTTAATTTTCAGATCGTAGTAAGTCCAATGGTATGTATCGGGAACCTAAAGATTTGTGATAAAAACGGGGGCAGTCTGGCCCCAAATTTTGACTGTTGCCAAATTCCCCTTCCCCGGGTCATGCTAAATGACAAATACACCATCATTTACCCAAATCCTAAAATTACTAAAATCCCCAAAATTCCCCATAATTTTTTAAAACCCCAAAAATAGTAGAAGTTTGCTAGTTGGGGAATGTGTTTAGCTTGTGTTATATTGCTGGTAAGGGAAAATTGTTTTAATTTACTCCCTGCTTAGATAAAATTTGAGCCCACATAGATGTCATGTTGGTGTTGATGACTGCTCAATCTTAATATGAATTTTGTTCTTTTTCCCAAGAGTTTTGTAGTGAGTGTTTTAAACATTGGGGACTTTAAAAGTTTCAGTATTTAAAAAACTATAATTTATTTTAAATGGTTTTTACATTTCAGAATTTTTTTATTCTTCATTAAGTTTGACATGTTGGTAGTTTTTCCAGAAGTATGTGTCCCACTTATGCCTGCCTGCTTCATTAGATTTTAGAGATGGACTTGTCTGGCTTTGAAATTCGGAACTATCTATTGTTTATAATGTATAAGGGGTTAAATTATATAAATATGATCTAAGAAAGAAATGTTCAATCAAGACAAGTAATGTCAACCGAGGTGTTAGCCAAGGTTTACATCTTGTCAAAGGTGAACATTTTTTACTTATTTTATTTTACTGAACAAATCAATATCAAGATGAACATCTTAAACATAATAACTATAACCTGGCAATTGTATGTACATGAGGGTCATACAGTGATGTTGCCATGTCACATTACGGATGGTTACCCGCAGATATCACTGGCTGTATAGAGTACATGTACATAAATCATGTTAGATGTAATAATGTAAAGTACCAAAATTAAGCAGTCATATAAAGACAGCACAAATATGCGTGCCGTAATTTACTTATTTCTTGCTTGCTTTGTAGTAGGATTTAGATATCTTATATATGATTGATATGAATTTTACATACCATGTTTGCTTTACAAATATTTAATGAAATTCATGGTAATAAAACAATAGATATCAGGTCACAATTCAGAAAGGTTAGAGTCATGATAAACAATATGGATGTTGTATAAAAACTAACATATATATTATATATGACAATGAAACTAATTGTGTGTTACATAATAAGTGTGTAATATTTTAGGCTTGTATTTAGATTCTAATTTTATTGTTGTGTCGCCTTGAAAAGGTGACATATAGGGGTTACTTTTGTCGGCGGTGTCGGCGGCGGCGGCGGCGTCTGTGTCGGCGTCGGCGTCCGCTAAAGCTTGTCCGGAGCATAACTCAGTCACTATAAGTCTGATTGACTTCAAACTTGGTATGCATGCTTCTTTCAATAACCCGAAGTGCAGTGCACAAGGACCGGTACTCTGCAGTTCTTATTTTTTGAGTTATTGCCCTTTGTTAATTTTCATACTTTAATTTTGTCCGGGCCATTTCTCTTCAACTAAAAAAGCTATAGACTTGAAACTTCATAGGATGATAGATCTCATTAAGAAGAAATGCAGTGCACAAGAACCAGTACTCTGCACTTCCTAATTTTTGAGTTATTGCCCTTTGTTAATTTCATACTTTATTTTTGTCCGGGCCATTTCTCCTAATGTATAAAAGCCATGGACTTGAAACTTTCATAGGATGATAGGTCTCATTAAGAAGAAGTGCAGTGCACAAGAACTGGTACTCTGCATTTCTTATTTTTTGAGTTATTGCCCTTTCTTTATTTTCATTTTTTAATTTTGTCCGGGCCATTTCTCCTTAAGTATAAAAGCTTTGGACTTGAAACTTCATAGGATGATAGATATTATTATCAAGAAGTGCAGTGCACAAGAATCGGTACTTTGCATTTCTTAATTTTGAGTTATGGCCTTTGTTAATTTTCATACTTAATTTTTGTCCTGGCCATTTCTCCGAAAGTATAAAAGTTATGGACTTGAAACTTCATAGGATGATAGGTCTCATTAAGAAGAAGTGCAGTGCACAAGAACTGGTACTCTGCATTTCTTATTTTTGAGTTATTGCCCTTTGTTTATTTTCATTTTTTAATTTTGTACGGGCCATTTCTCCTTAAGTATAAAAAGCTATGGACTTGAAACTTCATAGGATGATAGATCTCATTAAAAGAAGTGCAGTGCATAAGAACTGATACTCTGCATTTCTTATTTTTGAGTAATTGCCCTTTGTTGATTTTCTTACTTTATTTTTGTCCTGGTCATTTCTCCTCAAGTATGAAAGCTATGGACTTGAAACATCATAGAATGATAGATCTTATTGATAAGAAGTGCAGTGTACAGAAATGCTGCTCTGCACGTATTATTTTTTTAGTTATTGCCCTTTGTTATTTTTCATATTTCATTTTTGTCCTGGCCATTTCCCCTAAACTACATTGTTCACAAGGCGACACATCCGACTCGCGGAGTTCTAGTTATACTTTTAGTACATATATTTTGATCAAAAATTGATATCAATGCTTGTAATTCCTTGCAGGAGGAAGATACATGTACTGAAAAATGTCTGTCCATCCGTTCATCTGTCTGTCTGTCCTTCCATACTTCAAATATAGGCAGACTGACAGAACCATTAAATTTATTTGATTGTCTTCCTTTTCGCAATTTTATTAAAATTTTGTAGACTTATATATAGCATTTAGCATGACTGTGGTTTTATACAACAATAATATAGTTGATGCCCTTTACCCCTTTGCTGGGAGTGACTTAATTTATATTGCCTTGTATTTAGGTTAATTGATAGTTCTATTTTGCTAAACACTGATCAATTTTGTGTAAATTTATTTTCTTTCAAATTGTTCTGGTGTACATAATACTAAGAACTTTCAGTCAAGTGATTTGTAACATAATACTGGGGAAATCTGTTCAAGATAAATTGAGATATAATAATTATTGTATTAAACTAACAATTTTCAGAAATATCTACTTTATTAAAAAAAAATTCAATTTCTCAGATCTAACCCTAATTTTTTGATATCTTTAAGGCATAAGTTGTTACACATTGACAACAAAAGAACATTAAAATTTTGAAAATTATTTTCAAGTGTAAAAATACTAGAAATAGTAGCTTGACACTGTTTCATTTTTCTTGAAAACTTGTTATAACATTTCCATGAAAAATATGAAACATCACTAATTAAAAAATGTTTAAGTCTTTCAATTTCAGGTATAAATAGCCTTGTAATTCATTAATAATAAGATATTTTATATGTTATTATCACAGAAGGTCAGGACTATGCTGTGCCAGATGTCACAAAGTCAGCTCTGATGGTGACATTTCCTCACTCACGTCAGAATAACTCACAGACTAACAATCTGGACAAACCTCCGCCGCAGTATGATGCCCTGTATGCTGCCTCCGACATAATTAATTCACAAGTACCAAATATACCATCATTACAGGTATAGTCTACAGTTATAATGATAGTCTTCATAAAGTCTGTTAAATTGCTAGAACCACTTGCCCTTGTAGGTTAGACATTTTACATGCAAGTTTTTAGGGAAAATCAGTGTTTCTACCTCATTATGTGCATGTGCCTTTAACTCCTGCTCTGAAGGTCACCTAGAAATTTCCTTCCTAAGAAAGATTGACATTTGACCTTGACAATGTTTCTATAACTTAACCAAAACCAAAAGATTTCACATTATAAGAATATCATTAATGATGTTTGTTATGCAGATTTTTTTTAAATAGGGAAAATTAAAATAAAATAAATAATAAATAAAATAACTTGTCTTCTACAAGGGAGAAAACAATATTTCTTTACATTGATAGAGAAAATTGAGTTTTTTCCCTTGCATATGTGTACACTTCATTTTAGTGTTTCAACAATACAATATATTTATGTATGTGAATGTTTTACAGGGTGTGAGTGGTAACAATGTGTATGCTGTACCCAATGCTGAATTGTTACTTAGTATAGATGTAACAGTTAATGAATTTCCTCGTGAAAATCTTCGCTTTATTGAAGTTCTCGGAGAAGGACAATTTGGAGAGGTAAACATTTAACTAAACCAATTAAATGCATGTTGCATTGTTTTACTGTTAGTGTAAAGAGGTAATGCCAAACAAAATATATACTGAGTATATATATGCAGATATTGAGGATGTTAAACATAAAAGACTAAATCTTCATACTAAATGCGGAAATCCTACTTTGTACTTTTTTCATTAAAAATCAGTTTCAAAGAAATCATCTACATTTGTTTACAAGTGTGAGGAGAGTGGGACACTTTGAAAATATAAACTCCCACTTATGAAAAAAAATTTACATAGGAATATTGTGTCGTTGTTTTGCTGTATTTTGCTGCAGGGTAGAATGTGATTTTGATTAAGAAAACATAAATAATTGGCAGACACTGTAGAATAGACAAACCATTAATATTACACAAGTAGTATAATTGCTTCTGTGAGCTGCCTTTGTCTCTACTAAAGATTTACCTCCCCTACATAATGTAATTGATGTTAGTTAATTAGAGTAGACTCCCTTGAAGTAGAAATTTTATGATCAGTTTGCTGCCAGCTATAAATTATAGCAGTATTTTATTTCACTGTTTGAACATGGTGACTGAGCAGAATAAATGTTTATTACATATACAATGTATAAAGAAGCTGCACTCTATGGAGAGAATATAATATATAAATGTTTAGTAACAAGGAAAATTATTACCTTGCCAAATATTTGCCATTTGTTAGAACTAGGTAGTTATAAACCTAAGATTGTTGTTTATTACAAAACATACTTTGCTTGTAATTGTTGCTAAAATTTTCTTTTCATAGATCTCAAAATGGTATAAGTTTATGAAAGTTTCTTAAAAAATTTAAAAACATATGGGTGTATTTTTCTTGGTTTGCATTTTTGATCTGAGTAAAATAATGTGCGATAGTATTTGGCAGTATCTTCCAAAGAAAGTAATTTTCTATCTCCTTATTTAATATCTTAATTTTTCATCACCACAACCCCCACCAACACAACTGTCCTCCAACATGCCCCAACCAACACTCAACATTCATGTTCACACATATATTGTTATAGACAAAATGGCTGTGTCTGTGTTTATTTCTTTGATAAATGTTTTAAATTAAAGTGTTATTTTCTAATTTTCAGGTACATCTATGTGAGGCTGTAAACATAAGTAATATAAATGAGGATGAGATATTCCTGAATAGAACAATGACTAGGCCATGCCTTGTGGCTGTAAAAATCTTACGCAAGAATGCTGAGGACAGAGCAAGGTTAGTTATTTGTTGGGGGAAGTTTAATGTAATGGTATTTTAGTTTTATACTTCCAGGCAATTGCCTGTCAAGAAGTTTTGAGGCAATTGGCTGTTAAGAGTGTTTTTTGTTCAGTACATATATTACATGTTTTTCCACAAGTACCTTTTAACTTCTCAATTTAATCGCAGAGACTGTATACCTTAAAATGTACTGGCACCAAGTTACTGAAACAAAAACAATAGTAGGATTAAAGCTTGTTCAGTTTAAACACTGTTAGCTAAGTTAAGACACAGTACGTTTTGTAACTGTAAATAAAGTCTATAAAAGCTTAGTCACTACAAATTAAGTCTAGACTCTGTAAGTGTAGACACTGTAAGTTTAGTTAAGACACTGTAAGTTTAGATAAGACACTGTAAACTAAGCTAAGACGATGTAAGTTAAGTTTAGACACTTTAAGTGAAGTTTAGACACTGTAATTTAAGTTAAGACACTGATAGTTAAGTTAAGACACTGTAAACTAAGCTAAGACACTGTAAAGTTAAGTTGAAACACTGTAAGTTAAGTTTAGACATTGTAATTTAAGTAAAGACACTGATAGTTAAGTTTAGACACTGTAAACTAAGCTAAGACACTGTAAGTTAAGTTTAGACACTGTAAGAAAAGTTTAGACATTGTAATTTAAGTTAAGACACTGATAATTATGTTTAGACACTGTAAACTAAGCTAAGACACTGTAAGTTAAGTTTAGACACTGTGGTTAAGACACAGTAAGTTAAGACACTGTAAGTTAAGTTTAGACACTGTAACTTAAGTTAATATTAAGTTAAATTTAGATACAGTAAGTTAAGTTTAGACACTGCAAACTAAGCTAAGACATTGTAAGTGAAGACACAGTAAGTTAAGTTTAGACACTTTAAGTTAAGTTTAGACACTGTAAGTTAAGTTTAGACACTGCAAACTAAGCTAAGACATTGTAAGTTAAGACACAGTAAGTTAAGTTTATACACTTTAAGTTAAATTAAGACACTGTAAGTTTAGTTTAGACACTGTAAATTAAGTTTAGTCACTGTAAGTCAAGTTCAGACACTGTAAATTTAGTTTTGACACTGTGCTTTTTTGAACTGGCTAATCATGCATATTTATCTCAATGTATGTACACATATTTCCTAATTTGTATAGAATATAAAATAACTTACAAACCATAATATAATCCTATCTGAAAGAAAAAAAATTGCAATGTGATATTGAAGTTTTTACAAGAAACATGTCACAGTTTAATTAATTATGTGATATTTTTTTTGTTCCAGGAAAGATTTCTTGAAGGAGATCAAGATTATGTCCCAGTTAAAGGACCCAAACATTGTGAGGGTGTTAGGGGTGTGTACTGGAGAGGAGCCCCTATGTATGATTGTAGAGTACATGAAATATGGGGACCTCAACCAGTTCTTACTGGATCACGTCCTGGAGACCCCTTCAGCCCAGGCTGTTAATGCAAGAATACTCAGGTACAATATTTTTTTTATATCTTAAATAGGTTTTCAATATTTTTCATGTTTTAAGAAACATGACTGTACAAAGTTACTTTGCTTTTTCTTTTTAAACATTATAAATGTAAGTAATGGTAAATTAGGCAACTAGGCAAATAAAAATATCAGTTTTGAATTTAAAGTACATGTAATAGAAATTTAAGATGATTGAAATAGTGTTATGTAGATCTACTTTCATTGAAAAAATAATATATAAATGAACATTAACTCTGTTTTCTATGAGGTCTAACTTATGTTTCTAACCTTATAAAGCATTGCCTGAATGCTGGTGTCTAAGTGCAAGTATGTAATACTGATATCCCTTAAATTTAACAATGGATTGTACACAGATTCAGTAGAAAAACTAGTTCATTACTTATAGAAGGGAGAGATTTACAAGAGAGTCAGACAATTATTATAAATCATATGTTCTTTGTCATTTCCAGTTATGGTTGTTTGATCTATATGGCATCGCAGATTGCAACAGGAATGAAATATCTGGAATCACTAAATATGGTTCATCGAGATCTGGCCACTCGTAATTGTCTAGTCGGTACAAATTTTACCATCAAGATTTCTGACTTTGGAATGAGTCGAAGTCTGTACAGTGCAGATTATTACAGGATTGAAGGACGGGCAGTTTTACCAATTAGATGGATGGCCTGGGAATCTATTTTACTTGTATGTATTCTACATCATGAAAATTTTTTCTCCTCAAAAAAAAAGCCCCCCAGATTTGATTGCAGCAAAATCTTTGGAAGTGACTTAAGTTTTGCTATGCTCAGACTATTGCTATTGTTTGTTTCGAAATAAAACTAAGATATTTTTAGTATTTTTTTTATGCTGTCACATTTATTTCTATTAATTCCTTAAAAGTATTCTTTAAAGTATTCTCATGATGCTACTTTGTAAGACTATCTTGTTTAATGATTTCAGGGGAAATTTACAACAAAATCTGATGTTTGGTCATTTGGAGTTACTTTGTGGGAGATACTGACATTTGCCCGTGATCAACCATATGATAACCTTAATGATGATCAAGTCATCGCAAACGCAGGACATTTTTATAGAAACGATGGACAGCAGTTATTACTTCCTCAACCGATTGTTTGTCCACGTGAAATTTATGATATGATCGTAGAATGTTGGAATAGATCGGACTGTGAACGACCCACCTTCAAAGATATTCACATGTTCTTGTTACGTAAAAACATGGGGTACAATCCCAAGGATGAAAAGATGAACCAAATTAAAATTCCAGTGTGTTAACAGCTATTGTGATTTGTGGATGTTAAATATTCTAATGCACCCAGCGGCTACTAAAAAAGTGTGCTATATTTATGATTCGGGAAGAGTCAGTAACTGGAGCGCTCAAATCTTCAGTAAATTGTGCAATGTTGTTTTACCGCCAATTGTGATCTATATTTCACAGACATTATGTGATTTGCTATTCACAGTATTTTTTATTTTAAAATAACGCCATTATGATATGAATCAACTATGAAGGAAAGGGCGACACCAGTTTAGAGTCAGTTTCCTGGGCTAACGTCTTACGTGGTCTAGTTTACGAGGATGACTCTGGGCGTCTTTAAAAGCATTATTTTGTGTTAGTCAGAAGATTTTATTTATACCAGTTTTATTTGAAATACAACTATCATAATCATTGCTTTTGACTTGAAATCATCTATTGAAGTGATTCTAGTTGACACTAGGATTTGGTTGACCTAGTGACCATGTACTGTGCTGAACTCAAATCTTCATTTAGTCATATAATACTTTCTCTATGTGGTCATTTAAACCATAAAATGGTTGTAAGATGAAATATACCATGTGAGATAAAGGAGTTGGTATTTGTGAAAATATTTGATGGAATTTATTTGGATGTGTGTTTTAAAAAGTATATGTGTGTATATATGTGCAGAAAATTCAATACATGTATATAGGTACACACTGTGTGGGATGCTATACACAGCGTTCTACATGATATTCACATACACGGAATATTTATGTTGTTCTGTGTAATATAGTTTATTAACAAAGTCTATGATCAGAGGAAATCCAAATGACACAAATTTACTTCAACAGGATGTTATTATTCCAGACTGGATTACACTAAATGTTAAAAGTTGACTGGTTCTTTATCAGAGGATAGCATAGTTTCGGATATATTAATTTTTGTATTAAGTATATAAGTTGTAAATCAACAAAAATCATGTATGTTCATTGGTTCTAATATTATCTAGTTACCAGCAGCTTTGATACTTCAATATGATGTAATAGGCCGACAGTTCAATTCTTTAAGGTCAATCTGATAAACTCTGCTATTAATATGAAAAATAAGTCTTTAATCAGAACTTAATTATAACTTTCAGTCTATAATAGCTTCATTATAATAGTATTTACCTATTGTTTGACTTCTACAGTGTCATATTTCACAAAATGTGATGTATATTACTGTCATGCTTAACAGGTTTGGTTAAATGTTATGTGACAATTTTGATGTCACTGAGTTCTATGTGACATATGAATTATTGTAGACTGGTTTTGTTTTATGTCATGTGACTGGTTTTGTTTTATGTCATGTGACCTGTATTAATGTTATACGTACATGTATATCACAGTATGTAACTGTTTTTTATGCTGCCATATTTAAGAAGTTACTATAACTGGTATTGTTTGTGGGATGTAGGGATATTGCGATTTGTGTGCTGTTTTCTTTACAAAGTTTGTCATATAAATATATATATATCTGTAATTTTCATTTTTAGCCTTAAGCTTGTTTGTTTTCCACCATGGCTTCACATAAAAAATATGATTGTGTTAGAAGAATTATATGACAAAGCAAAATTGGAATTTTTTAAAGTAGTTCTGATTTTGACCTGCTTTCTTTAGTTCTTAGTTATTTTGAAAATTTCTTGAAGACTGGAAATTAACTTTGATATCTTTCTAAGCAAAATATTTCTTGGCTTATGTATAGAATTTTTAACATGGTACTTACATTTTGGCTTGATTGTCATAAATTTGTGATTTTCTGTTAAAATTATTGTTTTGAAGGAAAAAAGATCTAGACTACAACATAAATATTTTGTTTTTTTACTGCTGTAATTCTTAGATTGCCAGACAATATCATTGAATTAATGAGTCAAATGAGAATTGCCGTCTGCTAGCAAAACAAAAAATGATGCCTATAATTATCTAAAGAATGATTATATGTAATGCTTACAGGCATTTCTGAGATGTAAGAAAACAACAATACTGATATCCCTTAAATCAATAATGGACTGATCCAGGTTGGGGATGGGGAAAGTCCATTATATGCTGCTATATTACAGATGTTCAACAAATTATGTAGATTAGATAGACTGAATCTCATGATGTATCATACATTATATGTCAATTTAGATATTAGAAAATGAGGAAATATTTAGCAAATTATTTTCTTTCTCATTAAAATAGGCCTACAGTTTATCAGGATATGCTCTTTGGCTTTATATCACCATAGCTGATTGTTTTTAGCATCAAATGGTCAAGAATGACTTAATACTGTCCTTCACTACTGTCCTTTACAAATGTTAACAAATGTGCTAAGTTAAGGATTTTTCCCAACACTTGAGCATATAATAATTCTATGTTATATTATAATTTCAAGACTTCATTAAGTACAGCTTGTTTGATATAAACTGTGTCAGACTGGCAGTACAACTTCCTGACAAACACTGACACACATTTAATGCCACTTCAATTTGTCTAGAAAAAACTGTTGAAATTGCAAGTTTGTTGACATTTCTTTAAAGATTTGACAAAAAATTCTGAAGAGAGTTCATTTTTTCTCCAGGATTTTGTTTTGAAAACAGTAAGTGTAAGTTTCTGTTTGAAAGGCAGAGAAAGTTTCCCAGTAATATCAGTTAGAAATCTTGATAAAACTTCAAATATGTCATGCTTTATACATGAGCATACTAAATCATTGTAATATCCAACTGAAATGTGTCAGTTACAGAAATAAAGAGTGTAGCAAGATTTTTGTACTTATGTTTCAGTGAAGCCCCACTTTCTATACACAACATTTCATACCAATGACAGTGATGTATTTTTTTAGCTAGCCCAAACTCCCCATTGCCCTATTGTCTTAAATTTTGCAGAGTTGATATTTTTCACTTGGAGAATAAGATGCATTTTGTTGAAAGATAAATGAAATGGTTGAATCTTCTGACCAGGATTTTTTTTCCAATCTAATTTTAGAGTCTTAAAATGTGGATAAAGATTGTTTTCTGCTTCTGACATATGTTAAAAAATGTTTATTTTGCAAAAAACGCTTATTTTACTATTACAGAAGTTGAAATAATCTCTGTTTTATTCACAAGAATCATTTTTTTGTTCCTATGGAGCCCTTTTCTTGTTGTTATTGTTTTTCTGCTTAACATGTTTGTTGTGTATAATAGCACACCAATATATTGCCCCTAGAACTACACACCTGCCCGTCTTACTGTAAGAAATAAAAACCTTAGTTTGCTATCTGGCTAAGTAAGAATGGAGGAAGCAAAAATTTACTGTAATTTACAGTTAATGACATCTCGGAACAAGGTGTTGACAGTCGGTTAAAAAATATTGATATGCTGTCGACATGCAGTTGCACGCTGATTTTCTGTTGCGTTAAATGAGGCTACATTTGCGGTGATACGATGTAGTAAAACATGCGGAGAAAATATCTGTAACATGTGTACTGGTATAAAAAATGTTAGAGTATTATGGCAGATTGTATTTTTTACAAACTATTTCAAACTGAAAATTACCAAGATAAAACACAAGCTAACATCTGTGCCGATTAGTTATGAAATGCATGAAAATTTCTCAAAGTAGGAATTTATGAAGTGTTGCAGTTATTATTCCATTCCCACCTATTTTCTAAGTTGATTTTGTTCAAGCATATGAACATGAGTTTTTTTATACATTCAAACACTCATTAAGCTTTAACATAAAAGAAGTTGAGATTTTATGATATTTTGAGTTTTAAATTTTTGCTTTTGAAGAACTTTGAGTTAATTGGTAAAAACTTTTTACAGTAAAACAATTAAATGTTTACACTTTAAAGTAACCTTACAAAGACATGATATATGTTTAATGGAACAATATTTAGAGATTACAAATGAATTAAATATATTTATAAATTAAACATTTTTCAAAGTCTGAAAAAATAATGTTCAGTTACTCCCAGAGTTGCTTCCACTTATATCATTCACATAACAGTATTGTCTGAGAAAACAAATTTCCTAAGCTATATGCCTTATATTCTATTCTGCCTTTCTTCATTATTAACAAAATAGCTCAAAATGTTAACTGCCTGCTTAAATACTGACTTGCCTATATGTAATACTTAACTTTTTTAATACTGAAAACCGAGTTACAAATTGAATGCAGGTTAAGATCATATATTCAGCAGGACAACAGATAACATTATTACATAAGTAAACCGTAACTATATATTATATGTATATATACAAGAAGAGTTAAGATTGGAAGTGCTATATTTTGATATTCTTGTGCTGTATTTAAAATCATTTTACACAGAAATCTTGTTGATAGGAAAATGTTTTATGAATAATAATCCAAACATCAGCTGAACTTCCATGTTTTATAGCCAGACTGTTTACTGACTGCTGAAATTTAATATCTTAATGTTGAAATCCCTTCTGACAGGTCCTTTACACAAATATAGCAAAATAAATACCAAAATAATATATCATATACGAGTAAATCATCTTTAATTATCATTTTGTAAGATAATATATTATCAACGGATAAATTGATCTTTTCATAATTTTATAAATGAATTAATTTCTTTGATAAGTTTAGCAAGGAGCAACAAACCAGTTTAAAGGGGTCAGGTTTTGCCTGATGATATGTTATTATTAGTCATATTTGATATAGCATAATATGTTCATTCCACACTACAAGTAATATGTCATTTTGAATTTGTTTTGGTTGTAAATATTTATTTAGATTTTGTACATATATTTATATGAGTAATTATTACTATATATATAAGTTTCTTTTTCTTTTTTTCTTTCTTTTTGTGCTTGTAAATATGTGGTGCTTTAATAAAAAGTGAGTTGCTCTGTGAAAAGGTGCCATTTTGTAAAGATGTTGGATATGTTGTGATAAGATGTTGTATTACATTATAACTTTGAGATATTCTTGACAATAGATTCAAATAATAAATGAATAGTTTTAATCTATGAATTTATAGTGGAACGAAGTATTGACTGTAGAAATAGTATAACTTATGGTTGAAATTATATGACTGAGGGTACCTTTTTGTGTGGCAACTCACATGTTTACCAAACAACATACAAACTCTGTGAAACTGTTGAGAGACAAAGCATTTCATTGGTTGATAAACTGGTCTTATCATTGTATATGTTTTTATATCAAGTACTTTTCCTACAACGTTGTTTCTATTTCGTAATTGCCTTTCTTCAAATTATTTTTCCAAGGGATAGAATTCTTAAGTATTTTGTGAAAAATGTGCTGTTTTATTTACATTATTTAAAAACCTGTGTATTGAATGTACATGTCTGCACATTATCAAAGTGTGTGAAGTAAACAGATGAAAGAATTTAAAAGATGTTAACTTTTACAATGCTCATATCAAAACTGAGATGCCTCTCATGAGCAAGACTGGTTACGTAATTTAAGTTGGAGGACCCTAGATAATGTTCGTATAACTATTTGTCCAACCCTTTTGTATGTACATTATATTTATGCTCTAACCATGTGACATGCTAGGTCCATCTAACCTTGTGACAAGCTAGGTCCATCTAACCGTGTGACAAGCTAGGTCCATCTTACTATGTGACATGCTAGGTCCATCTAACCATGTGACAATCAAGGTCCATCTAACCATGTGACAAGCTAGGTCCATCTAACCATATGACATGCTAGGTCCATTTAACCATGTGACAATCAAGGTCCATCTCACCATGTGACAAGCTAGGTCCATTAACTATGGGACATACTAGGTCCATCTAACCATGTGACATGCTAGGTCCATCTAACCATGTGGCAAGCAATGTACATCTAACTATGTGACATGCTAGGTCCATCTAACCATGTGACTAGAAGGCCCATCTAACCATGTGACAAGCTAGGTCCATCTAACCATGTGACAATCAAGGTCCATGTAACCATGTGACAAGCTAGGTCCATCTAACTATGTGACATGATAGGTCCATCTTACCATTGGACAAGCTGAGTCTATCTAACCATGTGACAAGCTATGTCCATCTAACCATGTGACAAGCTATGTGCATATAACGATGTTTAAAGTTCTCTCCACCTATAATTGTTTGGTAGTTTTAAATAATCTAATGATAAATGGCACAATATATCATTGTTTTTTCTTTTCAAATTAATGTTGTTTTTTATTATTGGCAAAAGCCTCCAGTTTTAATTAATTTTGATTTCGATTTATAAAAACTAAAACAGAAATTAATTCAGATATCAAGTGCATTTGTGCAGCTTCTTTCAGCAGTTTCTGAGATTTAAAGAATGATATTGAATTAAGACTTTTATACTGATTGAATCAGGATCTGCTTTGGTTTTGTCAGGTTTAACTTTTGACTTCTAGATCAAATAGCATACAAATACATCAAATAACAGTGTTTTAAATGGTTTTTAGAAAGTTCACATTTTATACCTTTTTATTTGACCAGCCTATGCATGAGAAAATCTCTCTTTGGTATTATAACATAACCAATCTGATACAAGTGACTGAGACAGGTTTTTCTTACTTTAAATATCTGTTCACCATCTTACATCCATACGCTACACGGTACAAAAGAGCTTACCATTGCAGTTTTGTTTTTTCAAGTTTTGTCGAGCATGCAAGCTGTCTCCTCTTTCAGCTCTTGTCTTTTACACTGGCTCTCTGTAGATTTTGCATTGTGTTATTTTGTAGCAAAAAATTTGTTAAAATAATCAGTGATATAAAAAAAAATGTCAATTTATGACAAAAAATAAATAAATAAGTTTTGAGAAAATACATATATGGTCTCTCAATAAGTTTCACATATGTTTATGTAAATGTTTAAATCTAGTCACATGTATGAGTGTTTGAGTATTGAGAAAAAATCTGGCTTAGTGAAATAGAAAAGGAACATTATTATAATTACGTTATTGTAATTTACTTCTGTGTAAAAGAATATGTCCTGTTATGTTATTGTAATTCTTGTATTTTTCTTTTTTGTGTGGTTTGTGAAATTTACCTTATTTATAATGTTAAAAACGAACCATTGAATACATCTAGAAAGAAAAAGAATATCACAGACTGGAATTTTAGAAAAAAAGATTATAAGTGGATTTTGTTATAGTGTTAAAGGTATGAAGTTGAGAGCATTTTCTTGCTATATGAGTGTGTGTGTCTGTGTGTATATATGTACAATCTGTTATAGTGCTATGTAATTGTCATTGATACAGACAATATTTTAATAAAAATGTTGATCCAATTATCCTTGTCTTCTCTTTTCTGTCCTCCTAAACTGTTCATCAAATCATTCTGGAAATTTGGCATTTTTCACCAATGTCTATGTCAGTTAAGCTTCTACAAGTATGACACAGAGCAATAAAAAGTCTTTGTCCTCCAGATGCTTGCTACATAAATATAACACCACCCAAAAAAAAAGATAAATTTATACAGACTATACATTGATAGAAGGAAGGAGTCATGACAAAAACTTGTGTAATAAATGCAATATATTGATGTGAATATATATAACTTTGCATATTAATTGGTTGCCAGGGGTGAAGACAATGTTATAGAAATATTCTGTATGCTCAATAATGTTATGAAAAGATATCAAATTGTTACTTTGTAACCAAGGATTTTTGTTTTTTCTCCTAGAAAAACCAAGTCTGGTCAGTGTTTACCAGTATGTTAAATTGTTACTTGTGTTGTAATTAATTAATTTATTGCCAATACTATACGTGGAGATAAATTTTTAGGGAAAATACTACCAATACTGAAATCTTACATCATGGAATAAGGAGAAATTCTGTGTAAGTCTCAGTTAATGAGTTTTAATTATTGCATTGCTTTTATTGAACTGCTTGAAGAGGTATGGGAGAGTGGTTTATGCAATAAGACTAGTTGTTTACCAAACTGCTAGCTGTGTTGGTTCAAACCCTGTCCTAGGTAAGTGACGTTTCCTTGAGCAAGGAACTTTACACTCATTGTTACAATAAGTGCTGGTTGGTTCCAGGATTGGATTTCGAGAATGTGTTGAGCTTTTAGTTTCCTACACAAACTAAAATAAGTTCTGTATAAAGTAGTGTATGGTTCAATTTTAACTTCATTATAAACATGACAGTAAGGTTCAAGGCCAACAAATTCCATACACCAGTACAACCTGCTGAATGTATTGTTGTTAATCTAAAGATTTTAAAACATGTCCTGGTTTGACACAATGAGAATCAACAACAAGCAGCACAATAAGAAACTATAATATAATGGTTTCATAGTTTTATTTTCGAATATTTCATAAATAAATGATCAAATGCAATTACACCATCATTTCAGAACATTTATACAAGATGTAGAATCTATCTAAATTTTGTTCATTTAAGAGATTCATGCTTCAATTGAACACATACTTCGTACACGCCTCTGTGAAAAAAATGTCAATATTTCTAATTTACAGACAACACATACAGAGTTGGTTGAAGGGTCAAAGGACAAAATTTGGTACAAATACACAATGTTGAAAGTTACACATAAACAATAAATCTACTAATATAGTTTACTCTCGAACACAAATATTCATTTTTCTGTTAATTGATTAAAATGCATAAATACATGTACATAAGAAATTAAGTGTTTTATGAAATGTCAATAACTGCCCTTTGATGATCATTTTAATATGAACTGACAAACATTTAGTTTTATTTCATTGAAATATTTTTATTGATATTAGACACTTGATATTAATACTGTTCTGTAAGCCAAAGAAATACAACAGCTTTTTTTTTCTTTGCACACAATTTGATGGAAAAAAAATAGTGAAACACCCTATTTCTTGATAAACTTCTTTTTTAACTACTGGTACACAGCAGTCAGTGTTCTCATGTACATGGAAGCAAATCTATTTTCTCTGTCTTAATTCACACAAGGTTTATTTCTTATATTAGAAAATATGTTTTAAAATATCACTGTTTAATTCCACTGACTTATGTGCTGAAAACTGCCTGACATAACTGGAGAGTTTGTACTCATGTATATTGTACAACATAAAGAAAGTTTATAACATGTTAGTGCACTGCTATAGAAGAGGTATTTAAAATTGTACCTTACTGCAAATATTTAAAAAAAAAGACATTTAAAGGTGACAGCAAAATTGTTCACCTTGTCTTTACAAATATATTTTAGATATGTGTAACACAGATTAAAATCTAATAATAATTTAATTATGCTCAACAGATGATTGTTTTATGCATTTAGAGAACAAAATAACAATTACAACTTCATAAACAAGACTTACAAAAAGTAAACACTATTTTTTTGATTAAAGGAAGCCATTTCACACAGAACAAAGATATTTCATTGCCATTTAGTTCAGTAACAGTAAAACTAAATGTCAGAGTTAGATAAAACAAAAGTTTATTTATGGAAATCACTTAATGGTAAACATAATGTGAGAAGAAAAAAAAAATCAGAAAATGAATTTAAAGGGAAAAAGGAAAATATTACACGTTTTTTAAGCATTCTTTTGAAAATGTGACATAAATAAGCTCATTTCATTTAAATCATTTTAAAATACTAAAAGTGGTGGTAAATTACAATTTTTCACACACAAATTTCCTTGTTAACTACATTTTCTGAAAAGAATAATAAAAACAAAATCCATATGCCCCCACCCAAAATAGTGGAGGCATAGAAATGGCATACCATATTGTTCAATACTAACAACCCATTCCTGGGGTGTTAATAAGAAATTGTATGGCTATTTATGATTGACTAGTTTCTATGACAACAAAGTATTTATGAATTTACCAAGGTTCAAAAATGCTTCACTTTTACAATTAAACAAAAAAATTTGCTTTGCTGACAATATGAACTTATCTTATAAGCTTGATTTAACACAATGTCATTGAAATGTATTATGAATAAATATGGCAGTACAGCAAAACCTTGTGCAACACCTGCTCAAAATGTGAACTATAATACAAGCATATAGATGATACAAGTAGACAACTTCTATCAAGTCTATTACTGCTTTCTATGGTCACAATATATTTCTTCTTAAAATTCAACATTTTTTAGATAAACTAAACACATCTAAAAATATCAATAATCAGTGTATTTTACTGTTCCAATATGTTAATTTACCTTTTTTTCCTCTAAAGAAGTTTATCATCTCTACAATTAGGAAAAAAAACAGTAAAACTTTTATTTGTTGTTGTTTTATGGTTTAGCATTTCTCGAAAATATTTCTTGGTTAATTCATATTTATAAAACCCCACAATTTACAGCCATAATAATCAAATATTGTGGTAATTAATCTTCTAACAATTCCATGTTTTTAAACTACAATGTACATGTATTTCATACTAATGAATAACTTATCCGGTGTAATATATTTATATGTAAAATGCCTTACAGCTTTGTGTCTAATACGAAAGCAAAAATGCCTTTGCACTATTTCAATTTACAAACATAAAAGTAAAAACTATGAACATTTGGTATCATGTACAATATATTCTATGTACAATAGTCTTTATACAGCATGTAAAAGCAAAATATATATATACATAAAAATAGGTTTAAAATCAATGTTTTCTTAAAATGAAAAAAGATTTTCATAAAAATTCCATAACACCCTAGTCAGTTGTATGCATGCTCTGTTCCTAGCTTGACCTTTAATAAAAGGTAAAATCTGCAGGGAAAAATATGAACTTCTATTCCTTTAAACAGAAATTTGTGAAGGTTTTAATGCTTCAATCACTCAGTTCCTGACAACTCAAACTACAAAGCTTAGATAGAAGTTTAGTAAATATATTTCTATACAGAAAGTAGTCCCATTTAATGATGATCTAAGATGTAGGAATACAACAGATAAGCCTAAACTGGGTGAAAGAATACAACAGCTAAGTTTAAACAGTTCACCAAACTGCACATCCTAACAATGAACTTTGTTCAGAATAAAATAAATACACAATTTAATCTTGTTCAATTCTAATATGTCGCTGTTCAAAAATGTTCATTGTTTTCAACATAATGATGCACTTTTTGTTCTCCTACTCTACACATGATGTACACGCCACTACACTTCTCCAAAAATGTTCTAGTGTGAGCTGTTTGCCATATATACCATTTAAAGTGCTCACACACAAAATCATGTGGTTTGGTTTTTATTTGTTTGTGGCAAGAAGTATGGTTCTTTCCAAACATTGTAAATCTTTAGAATATTGAATTACTTCTCAACAATAAAACATCTCTTCAGTTAGAACTGGTACATTACTGAGAGAATTATCATCATTTCCAGTTTCATTAAGACAATCCAAGATCATTCATACATCCTGCAATATTTGCTGCATGGTCAGATAGTCAGCATATTGGTACCTTAATCTGGTTCATTTTCTCGTCCTTGGGATTGTATCCCATATTTTTACGCTGAAGAAACATTTGGATTTCTCTGAAACTAGGTCGCTCGCTCTCTGCTCGATTCCAACATTCTAACATCAGATCGAATATTTCCTTTGGGCAGTTACCTGGTTGCGGTAAGTATATTTGCTTGTTATCATTACGATAATAATGTCCAGCATTTTCGATTACTTGTTCGTCATTCATGGTATCATATGGTTGATCACGAGCAAATGTCAGTACCTCCCATAATGTTACACCTAATGACCATACATCACTCTTTGTTGTAAACTTCCCCTGAAATTATAAGTAACAAGACAGAGTATTTTAAATTTTTGTGGTAGGAAAAATATTAAATAAATACAAGAAGACACACAGAAGAAAATAATTACAATAGTTTGGGTTATAAAACATATGAATGTATTACCAATAACTTACATTAAACTGTATAAAACCATATGAAATGAAAAATTAAAAAAAAAATTGTAAATGGTAAACTTACAATGTTTCCATAATAAATGTACAGGCATTAGCAATAATTCACATTAAAGTTGTGATTTTATTTCAGGACTGATACATTAACATCATTTACTCTCTTATAGCAGTTAACATGTAACTAATGAAAAACAAATATGTGGCTATTATTCTTTCTACATGAAACAAATGCTGTATAAATATTCTATCATATAATTATTGTTAACTATGCACTTATCATATTTGTCATTGTACCTTATTATCACTGTAGCAAGTAAACTACTTAACTATGTAAATAATTGATTTGTTCCTAAAAAAAACAGCTTTTTCATAGCTCCATTATATACAAGTGTTATTTCCCTAAAATCATTATTTCAAGCTTTATATATTTTAGAAATGATAAAAACCTGTGATTTTTTTGTCATTACTAAAAAGCAACATAAAACTGGTAAAAAGTAATGAATAATTCTATATACCCTATATTTTGCATCATATAACAGAAATTTAGAATAACATGCAAAAACAAGAGCACCGCTAGGCGGGGCATTAAATGCCCGAAAGTACTTTAGCTGTAGGTTGATTAATGCTTGAATTATTGAGCGAAAACTGTTTCCAGTTTAAAGGTGATAGTAACCTTGATCTTCCACCTTGTGACCCCAAAATCAATAGGGATCTTCTACCCAATATGTACAATCATCCTATGAAGTTTGAATACTATGGACCAAATGGAACTTAAGTTATGCTGCAGAAACCATTTTCAGTTTTAGGGTAATAGTGACCTTGACCTTTGACTTTGTGACCCCAAAATCAATAGGGGTCTTCTACTCAATATGGACAATTATCCTATGAAGTTTGAAAACTGTGGGCCAAATGGAACTTAAGTTATGCTCCGGAAACCATTTTCAGTATTAAGCTAATAGTGACCTTGACCTTTGACATTGTGACCCCAAAATCGATAGGGGTCTTCTACCCAGAATGGACAATCATCCTATGAAGTTTGAATACAGTGGACCAAGTGGAACTTAAGAAATGCTCCGGAAACCATTTTCAGTATTAAGCTAATAGTGACCTTGACCTTTGACCTTGTGACCCCAAAATCAATAGGGGTCTTCTATTCAATATGAACAATCATTCTATGAAGTTTGAAAACTGTGGGCCAAATGGAACTTAAGTTATGCTCTGGAAACCATTTTCAGTTTTACAGTAATAGTGACCTTGACCTTTGACCTTGTGACCCCAAAATCAATAGGGGTCTTCTACCCAATATGGGCAATCATCCTATGAAGTTTGAATACTGTGGGCCAAATGGAACTTAAGTTATGCTGCGGAAACCATTTTCAGTTTTACGGTAATAGTGACCTTGACCTTTGACCTTGTGACCCCAAAATCAATAGGGGTCTTCTACCCAATATGGACAATCATCCTATGAAGTTTGAAAACTGTGGGCCAAATGGAACTTAAGTTATGCTCCGGAAACCATTTTCAGTATTAAGCTAATAGTGACCTTGACCTTTGACCTTGTGACCCCAAAATCAATAGGGGTCTTCTACCCAATATGGACAATCATCCTATGAAGTTTGAAAACTGTGGGCCAAATGGAACTTAAGTTATGCTCCGGAAACCATTTTCAGTTTTACGGTAATAGTGACCTTGACCTTTGACCTTGTGACCCCAAAATCAATAGGGGTCTTCTACCCAATATGGGCAATCATCCTATGAAGTTTGAAAAGTGTGGGCCAAATGGAACTTTAGTTATGCTCGGGAAACCATTTTCAGTTTTACAGTAATATTGACCTTGACCTTTGACCTTGTGACCCAAAAATCAATAGGGGTCTTCTACCCAATATGGGCAATCATCCTATGAAGTTTGAAAACTGTGGGCCAAATGGAACTTAAGTTATGCTGCGGAAACCATTTTCAGTTTTACGGTTATAGTGACCTTTGACCTTGTTACCCCAAAATCAATAGGGGTCTTCTACCCAATATGGGCAATCATCCTATGAAGTTTGATTACTGTGGGCCAAATGGAACTTAAGTTATGCTCCGGAAACCAAATTCCTAACGGACTGACGGACGTACAGACAGATGTCCGGACAGAAGGACCTCAGGGGGTATAACATAATATGCCTGAAATTCTTTCGGGCATATAAAAAGCAATCATAATATGTAAAGGAAAATACATACAAGTAAAATAGATTCCCAGGCCATCCATCTAATTGGTAAAACTGCCCGTCCTTCAATCCTGTAATAATCTGCACTGTACAGACTTCGACTCATTCCAAAGTCAGAAATCTTGATGGTAAAATTTGTACCGACTAGACAATTACGAGTGGCCAGATCTCGATGAACCATATTTAGTGATTCCAGATATTTCATTCCTGAAGCAATCTGCGATGCCATGTAGATCAAACAACCGTAACTGGAAACAAAATAAATATCTTTGATATATTAATATAGTCGAGGTACACTAAGTAATGTTACAAGCAAAATATCTAAGATCTGGACGTTGTAGTTTCAAACAAGAAGATTTTAATAACTTTTCTTAAGTAAGTCTATGTAAACTATGTGAGCCAAGCATATGCCTAGTCTTTACCAAAGGGACATGATCTAAGAACCATAAGGTAATGTTAAATGTCAAATATCTGAGCTCTTAGTACTGAAGCTTCTAATACGCAGATTTTTAAACTTGCAGATATCAATTTTGATCCATATTTTTATTTTTGCCATCACACAAGCTCACCAATGTACATCAAATTATGCAACAACTGAATAAAGTAAATATTTCCTTCATCAATTAAATGTTAAACATTTAAAACTGGTCAGTGGTAACATTCATTTTTGGACTTGTTTCCATATCTTAGACTGACATTTCCTTGAAGCACTTACTAAATTTTATACAGCTAACCAGAGATATAAAATTGATGTTAGAACTATAGAAATTTAACCTTTGAATTTCCCGATTTCCTCTCCTATAATAATGCATATATACATGTATCTCTTATTTTACAGTACCAGAAAAACATGCAATAAAGTCTAATTATAACAGAATAATATTATGGGAACCATCTCAAATTGTCTCTTAAATCTTTATTTAGAATGCCATTTCATTTTTTTGCATCAATTATTATGTCTGGTCATAAAGTCTCTTTGGAATTATTTCCATTTTCTAGAATATTTCTGCATGATAAACTTATACCATTATCAAGTCAAATAACATGAAACATTTCTCAGTAAATCCAGTCAAAGAGATTAAAGCCTGGAACCAGTTTTTGAAATTGCTTAAAAATACATAGAACTTAAGTCTGTAACCATAACACAGGTGTGAATAATCTTTGTTGTAGATACTTTGTATTTACATAAGTTCCTTGAACTAGTCTATGCCAAATTACAATACAACATTTATTCCATGCCAGTTTAAATAAAATAAGCTGCCAATTTATACATTTCTCATCATACATCATATTTCATACTTGGAACAAACACTGACAAATAAGACTAAGGTTAATATTTAAATGCCTTAAGTTGACAGCCCATAATGTAAAATAAAGCAGACAAAAATCTGTTAGTGTAAGGGCCTTAATTCACTCAAATCTAAAAGTAATGGGCCTTGGAACTAGTTTGCTATAGCAGTGTTTAACTGTATTTAACATATGGTAATAACATGGATGCATTAATTAATGGACCTACCTTAAAGTTTTAGCATTAGCGGCCTCTGCCATGGGAGACTCTGGTACATGATCCAGTAAGAACTGGTTGAGGTCCCCATATTTCATGTACTCTACAATCATACATAGGGGCTCCTCTCTTATGCATACCCCTAACACCCTCACAATGTTTGGGTCCTTTAACTGGGACATTATCTTGATCTCCTTTTGGAAGTCAGACCTGAAAAATAAACCAAACAATTCTTATATTGTCAAGGTCAAATAGTCACTCTTTTTATCATTTGTTTTTTAAGTTATATCGACAAAATGTTTGGCTCCATTAACTGAACATAAATAATTTCTTAAGAATCAAACAGTTTAAAAATTTAGATGGACACCTTAATGATTAATAAATAGAATCATTAACAAATGTTGAAAATGTAAAAAAAATTCTGAATTTCAGATATTGCTATGAAATATATTTATTTTATATTTTACATATTTAAAAAAGTAGATATATTTTTATATCATGTTTTATGTATATATCACACCTAGCTCTGTCGTCTGCATCTTTACGTAACATCTTTACTGCTACCAGTACTGGGCGATTTACATTTCTGTTCATAATGTAGTCATCTTGCAAATAGTCCGCAATATCAACAGCCTCACATAGATGTACCTAAATATAACAAAAAATATAACATAATCAGTAATGTTAATCTGCAAACAAGTCATCTTCAACTCTTATACAAGTAGTAGCAGTGAAAATTGAAGGCAAGTCAATTATATAGAAACAGCTCAATTATTTGAGTTCTGAGAATTCTTACTGAGAACATTTATAATTGTGATATACATTGTATAAAGCAACTTCAAACTGTAATGGGATTGTCTTTTATTTATCATTAGGTTACAATAACTTGAAACTGTGAGCTTGAACACCAACTTGAATACTGAGATATGATAAAAATAGGTAAGATAATATATGAATAATATACATTGCTATTTATTGTGAGTGAATTATGTTTTATGTTGTTATTTAGCAATGATACACCATTAACAACATATATACAAGAAAACTCTAACTACCATCAGGCAGTAAACCCAGGAAGTATACTGTTTTATAATGCAAAATAACATTGACTCCAAGATTTATGCAAAAACCAAGCTTATATACACTACATAAAGCCCTCAAAAACAAATTAAATAGCACATTTAGAAATGTGTGGATCCTAGACGTAATTCATTGATAGGCAATAAAGTGCAGGGCAGAACAACGAAATGCAGCCATTATAATGCTGGGAGGCAATTAAAGTAATCAGAACTGTTTTGTTGTAAACTACAGATATTATACTGTATTATACAGTTATCTCTAGACTTCCAGTCATAACTAAACATTGTTTTATTTCTCCTATACACACAGTTAATAGCCAAATTATGCAGAAAAAACATAAGTTGCACTATAGAATAGTGAAATAATTCTTTGTATTTGTAGTATAGGTGATTTCCCCCACGGTTTTTGTAAATTCCTGATAAAAATTAACAGATAGGACTTTTTCCACATTTTCTTAGCAAACTTAGAGCATTTTTCACTGCAGATTCAAGGGCTGTCTCAGTAGCAGCTACTCTACTTTCCTCAGTGCTGTATAATTAACCTTTGACCTTTTTAACCCAAAACGGGTATGGTGGTTAGGACAAGGTAGGCAAGGTGTATCTTCAAACAAATATGCTCTTTGATTAAATGGACAATTTTCTGTTTGCTATTAAATGATCTTGACCTTTTGACCTAGAATGGGTGTGACAAGTAGTACTTATCAAGATACATCCACATATTAAGTTCCAATGAAATAGCTTTTGTTGTTCTCTTTTTTTTTATTTTCTAAATTTTTTGTTTGACATAAAGTTTAAATTTAATAAAGAAGGAACAATGTTGTTGAGTATGTAATAGACTATATTCATTAAGTTAATCCTTTTGCACTAAAAGCTGTATGAAATTTCCCACCATGTATATTATTTAAAATTCTGCACTAGCATTACAAAGAAACTTTCAACACAAGAGTTAAACAATTACTCCAAATAATTACCTACTCATTATTTTGGCACTGGAGCATTTAAGATTGTGAAGCTGCAAGACCTAAGCAGCTGTAAGTGCACATAATCTTTGTACCTGAATACCCTAACAATGATAACCCTTTGTCTTATGTGCAAATAAAGTGAAATGAGAGGGAACTAGAACAACAGTGTATCATTGACAACAAAATTAAATTATCAACATTGTGTACTAAATATCATTCAGGAGCTTAACTTTGCACTCATTCTATCATACTCCCTGCATCTTTCACATACTCCCTGCATCTTTTACAAAGTTGTTTAAGTATGTATAATGTATGCACCCATTCTATACATAAAACATTAGATTGCTTACAATATTTGCTTTTTAAATCTGATATCTGGACCCAGAGCAGTAGACCTATTATAAGTGAATACATCTAGTGATATCTGGACCAAGGCAGTAGATCTATTTGTCCCTGGACAACTGGCAATTACATTTAATAAATTTAGGAGTGAAGACTACACATGTAGGATTACCTCTCCAAACTGTCCTTCACCAAGAACCTCCACAAAACGAAGATTTTCTCTTGGAAACTCAACAATAGACAAGTCAATACTCAGCAATAACTCTGCATTGGGTATTGAATACACGCTGCTACCTGTAGCACCCTGCAATGTACACATAAAACACAGTAATAATCATCCTTTTCATTATTTCAAACATTTCTACTTTAAGGTAAATAAATTAATCTAAATTTATTTCAATGCATTCTCTAACCAATTCTCCACAGTGACATATACTAAAATTTCAAAGAAATTCTTCTAATTACTATTAGTTCCAATGACAATTTTTTACCATTTATTACAAACATTAAAGGTAAGTGGGCATCTATCACAATAACAAACTGATGTTTCACATTAAAAGCACCAAGCTTCTACAAGTTACCTTATAAGCTTTTGAAACTTCAAATTCATAAAATAAGAATTTCTGGCAGAAATATAAATCATAAAGCCAATCAAGATATCATCCTAATTGCTATAAGTGCCTTATTTAAATATTTTTAACAATGCATTCAGACTCGTAATTTAGAAATTTCAGTAATTTTGCAAAGCATTTTCAATATATTGCATTGCATAATCATGTTTTTTTATGTAAAATCTTGTAACCTGTAAATTTGGAATGTTTAAACCCTGTGAATTCACAATATCAGCGGCGGCATACAGGGCATCATACGTCGGTGGCGGAAGATCCAACTGGTTCAGTGGTTGAACCCGAACTGGAGGCTGAGGGGGGTATATTGGTGGTAGTGCAACTTTTAGAGCCGACTTTGTAACGTCTGGCACTGCATAGTCCCTCGAATCTATAAATAGAACCAAGTGTGTACAATTCAATAAAGAATTCTATAATTGGAACAAAGTGTGGTAAATTCAATCATGGTTTCTATAAACAGAACAAAGTGTGGTAAATTCAATCATGGTTTCTATAAAAAGAATAAGAATTGTAAAATTTGGTCCCCTTGAATCAATAAACAGAAAAGTGAGTGTAAAAGTTAATCATGAAATCTATAAATAGAAATAACAACATAAAGTTGAATTGAAGACTCAAAAAGTGTTAAATTTAATCACAGAATCTATATGAAGAAACCAGAGTCTACAATTTAATCATCATACATGCTGAATGAATCAATGAAGTTTTCTAGAAATAACAGCAGTAAATTTTGTCTAATTTTACTATTTCCAGATGACTTAAATTAAAGATGGTTAAAATACTTAGTAAAGAAGCTGTTAAATGAGGCAATAAGAGGAAGTATCAATTAATCAATTATATCTTATTTATCATAATATTTCTAAATATTATTACTATTTTATATTTACTTTCATTCAAATCATTAATCCCTGAACTATAAAAATCAAAATCAAAATTCATGGTTATCACATTAAAAAACATTTAAATTGCTTTTTAATACAACATATTCTTTTAATTTTCATGTTATATCAGCTTGTACAACAAATGCTAGACTATACTATATACATTAAAACATAAGAAATATTTACATGTCTGTTACAATACGATATTAAAATGTCTGACTAGTATCTCTGAAATGGAATAACATCTTCAATTTCAATTCAATTTCAAGACTTCTATTAAGTGCAGACAGATAAGGTTGCAAGAAGTTAGAAAACTGTTACCAATATAGAAATCTAATCTGAAGATTAAATTCTGTAAAATGCATTTTCAAAATTGAATGAAAATATCAGGATTCCCTCGCTGTTTTAATAGATGTTTAAGAAAACAACTTAAGTTAGAATTTATATAACAGTAGAGAATCAGAAAATTTGAGTTAGTTTTCATGTATTTTCAGCCAATTACATTCTACAGCTTTTTTATTTCCATATAACAGTAGCTTATTATGTTCTATTAGGTGTAATATTCAACACAATTCTTTGACCCTGGAAGAGTTTATCTATCAATATATTGATTATAAGGAATGGAAAATGAAATTGTTTGCATTTTTTAAAAACTTTCTTCATTTTACCAATAAAATGTATGGCCTTTAAATAACTAGAAACAGTGCTATATTTTCTAAGAAAAAGTTTCTAATAATTTATTAAAATATGCACCTGAAAATCATACAGCCCGAATTGTTTCTGTAATTGAAACAAGATTCTTCTCTAATTATTCCTAAAGTCATTGGTAATTATTTGCAAATACTTTAGTAATTATTTCTAACATTTCATATGCCTATAAACAAAAGTGATATTATTTAACATTAACAAAATGATAGGATAATACATTTCTACATTCATTTCTCTGTAATAAACAGCAGTAACAACATGTTTTTCATTTAAATTTATCAACAACTAGTTGTAGGTGTATTATTATGTCTCCTAGCAAATATTTATGAAACAAAATAATTCATACATTTGTTTAGTATAACAAGAATGCCATGAAGGCCTTAGATCACCCACCTTAGACCCATTGCTAGAAAAGGTCACATTTCTTCAATGAAGAAGTAGATCATTAAGTCACATGTGAACTGGTAGCCTATAATCAATATAACTTTTATAGAGGAACAATATAAAAGTGCTCAGCAGTGTGGTTTTTTCAAAAAGTCTTTTTTTTTTTGCTTCTGTGACTAACTTATTAACAAACTGAAACCACTTATAATTAACTATTAATCATGATGTAGAAAGCCACCTAAGAATCATTGGAGTGTATCAGGTGTATAAATAAAGGAAATGTTGTTTAGAGAAATTGTGGATAACAACAGGCATCCTTCTATGACAAAAAGCTCACCTCTCTGGTAATTTTCGAAGACATGAACAGCAGATATCCTTCATTTAAAGCATGGTCAATTTTTTATTCATTTATTTAATTTTTTTCTTCTTTTTTTTTGGGGGGGGGGGAGGTGCAGTTGGGGACAAAATATCCTCTGTCAGATTTAAAAGCGAGGGAGTCCACAGGAAAAAGTTATTTAGTGCCTTATCACAAAGTATTACAAAAAAGCCTTGACATCTGCACATTCGTGATCAATCAATCATTTCTCTTAATATCAACTGTAGCATGTTATTAAACTTTGTTTCAAAACAATCAAACTATACAGTTCCCCCTTTGTATTATCAAACAATAAAATGCAGCAAAAAAATTAAAATTTTGTCAGTCTCAAAATCTTATGAGCAATTTATTAACATATGAAAAAAATAAACGAAGCTAAATACAACATTAATGAACAATCTTCATACTGGGAGTTACAAAAACTCCAAAGATTGCATTTTAATGAGTGAACCTAAAAACTTAATTTGGCCTAACAGTAGCAAGATTTCCCCCTTATGATTTCTCAAACATTTTTTTTGCACAATACAACTGTTGTATGAAGATTTTTTTTCATTGCTTATAATTTCAATGAGATTATCCTATTTTATGATGTATGTAAAAAAAAATCCCCCATCAATCAAATTATAATGTTTGTTGATTACTACTTTAACTAAAAAAGTATAAAGAAACATAATAAAATCAAAATAAATAATTCTAATGCAGAGTTAAATTTGATTTTAATTAAACTACCTAGCGTTTTCTGGTGCCTTGAGCCTGTCCTATTGGCACTTGTGTAGAAAGGGGAATATTGACCTAGTGGGTGCCTGAGCCTGTCCTATTGGCACTTGTGTAGAAAGGGAAGTGTTGACCTAGTGGGTGCCTGAGTCTGTCCTATTGGCACTTGTGTAGAAAGGGGAGTGTTGACCTAGTGGGTGCCTGAGCCTGTCCTATTGGCATTTGTGTAGAAAGGGGAGTGTTGACCTAGTGAGTTTCAACATGACCACTTCTACTAGTTAGTTCAAGGAGACTTCAAGCTTTCTATACAATCAAACTGTATAATTATGTTTAAACTATGGCTAACAGTTCAGAGAAAAACAACAGGTAACAGTTTGAACAGTTCAATCACAGGGATTTTTTCTCGATAAAAAGTAAGATAAAACATTTAAGCAGGATACAGTTTTTGTGTTGTGATTATTTTTATATCTGGAGAGAAACTGTTTCCAATGAGCCAAAAACACTAAATTCTTCCTCAATATCAGATGCAAAGAATATAGTTATCAATGTGGTTCATAAAAAAAGTTTGCCTTCAAGTCAATTTTTCACAATTAATGAGTTATGCTGGAATGAAAAATATTAAAAGAACAATTTTCACAGTAAGTTTATGTAACACCTGTTATTTCATACACTTACACTGTCCATTGTGGTTTTTTGCAACTATTAAGTGTCCAACAAAACTTATGGAAGTTTTTATTTGTATAATATTACCTTTGTCATTTGCATATGATGGTTAGTACTACTCAAATAACATGATTTTAGTACTTGTATTTTAGTAAGACTCCTTTAATAATTGCACAGGATGATTTTGATGACATTTATTGCTTGTATAAAAGATGAACAATTGTTAAAACTAGCAAAATAGTACTAGCATCTTCGTGAAAATTTGGTTTTATCTAAAAGTTATTACAATATATTGAAATTTTTCCACGGTATAAAGCATGTCAAATCTTACACTGAGAATTTCTTTCTTTCCATTCTTATCATTTTTCTTCTTATCAATGTAACAGTAGGAAACTTTTTATATGCATTTCTTCATGAGAATTCCAGCTTGTTTTATACCAAAACATACACTAATTCAATTTATCCTCATATACAAAATACAGTCATTCAAACACAGGCAGGACAGAATTTTTTATGATTTTTATGATATCATAAGTACAGACTGGCAACTAGTTTATGATCTCATAATTCCTAGAATTAACTTTCATTACCATAGTTCATCTAATTAAAGTACCATATGCTTCCTTTTAAGTTATAATAAAGTTTAATTGTTGAAAATATTCTGTTGTAAAAACTTTTCAGAAAATAGTCTACAGGAAAAGTCTTAACACCTCACTTAAAGAGAGTATCTACCTTAGAATTAAATATACAGGATCTAAAATCTACAGGGGTTTATTTATAAAAAGTGCAGTACCTATCACTTACTTATTCATGAAAGGCAGAAAAATACATCAGTTTTTTCTTTTATTTGAAATGATATGGTATTACCCCCTTTAATCACATGCAGAAATATTTGGACAAATTGCAAAAATAAACCACATCATAAATTTATGTGTTAGTACATCACAGCAAGGGGCTGATTGCTTTAACAGACTATCAGGCATCTTTTTCTCACAGGAATTTATCTACAGTACCTCATAGGCATTTTGATAACATTATATGAATTTCAGTTATTTCCCACATTACTGAACTTTCATTTTCAATACTTTTGTATCTAAATTACAGTTATATTAACTAAAATGTTCATTTGGTCATTTCAATTAAGTTGGTGTGCCAATCTGTCACAGGCAGTAACTTATGCTGTATTAGTTTTAACCATATCTATCCTTGTCTGCAGAAAAATATTGCAAAAAAAGATCCAGAATGATCTCTAATTGGAATGTAAGAAATCAAAGTATTTTGGAGGATAATGTATCTGATAAAGAAATTACTTTATTACAGAGAAACAATTAATTCTTAATTGTGTAAAGTGTAATGGACCATCACAAGGGATCTAGATTTAAATGTCTCACCTGCAATAACTGTTCATATTTATGTACACATATTTATGTACACTGAGCTGTAATACTACAGTATTTGTACATATATTTATGTACACTGATCTCTTATACTACAGTATCTGTACATATATTTGTACATATATTAATGTACACTGGTCCCTAATACTACAGTATTTGAATATATATTAATGTACACTGGTCCCTAATACTACAGTATTTGTACATATATTTATGTACACTGGTCCCTAATACTACAGTATTTGTACATATATTTATGTACACTGGTCCCTAATACTACAGTATCTGTACATATATTTGTACATATATTAATGTACACTGGTCCCTAATACTACAGTATTTGTACATATATTTGTACATATATTATTGAAGACTGGTCCCTAATACTTCAGTATTTGTACATATATTAATGTACACTGGTCCCTAATACTACAGTATATGTACATATATTAATGTAAACTGATCTGTAATGTACAGGTAGTTATGACTTACAAGGGTATAACAATAACTGACAAGAGGTAATATAGATATGTAAAACTAGAGAAAGTTCATTAGGTATTTTGATTTGTATCCAAATTGTTTAACAGATTACATCAGATTACATAATCTCTAGTCATATCCTTACAGCCAGATTTATATTGAAGTTTTAGGAAATAGGGTAAATAAAACCATAAACTTCAGGTCTTGTAAACTCAAAGCAACATATTCTTCTATGTCAGAAAAACAGAAAATGAGAGGGTGGGGTAATACCACAATAACTATCATATTAGATTAACTTGTTCACAAAAGTTTTCATAGATATTATATGTGAAAATGTTCCAGGATAATCATGGGGCTAAAAATGTCCATGAAAGTCATATTTTGTTAATACTATGTACACAAAAATGCATTTGAAATGATGAAAATGCATTATGGGAGTTAGAGGATGAGTTCATAAAACAGTCGTATAACTTGCCTATGAAAGTCCTATGACATCCACTTCTGCTAACAAGGGTAAGTAACCACATAGAAAATATTTGTTAATTCAGGTACTTGTTCAATGACAACAGGTAAAATAGTCGGTTACATATTCAACATCTGTAACTAATAAGCTTAACAACTACTCCTTTAGTTCTCTGTACTTATAAAATATCCCAAGGAGCTAAATAACACAATGTATTAAATGCTTATGGGTAAAGACAAAACAAATCTTAGTACTTAATGTATTATTTGCCTAACCCATAAAATGATAAGATTTATGATATGCTGTGAAGCCCAAGTTATTTTGGCAATTTCAATTTTTCCCTTATGTACTATGTATATTAATTAACATATAAAGGTAACATTTCATGTGAAGAGAGAGAAAGAAGCACTTTAAAAGCATTCTAAAGATAGTAACAAAATTAGAAACATGCAAACATGCTAGTATCTTAACTATATAATACATGAACCAAAATCACTCAATTGAAGGTCACTATAGGAAAACATGCCTTTTATAAATTTCCCTGAAAAACAACTTTCTAGGAATTCAATTATTTGATGTGAATTTCACATAAACACATCATGCAGGAATTTATAGGAATCTAGCTGTAATAATGACAAAATAACTAGATGTTTAAGGCTATGTTCTTATATAAACATGCGCAAGAATACATGGGACAAGACACATCTAAAAGCTTTGAATATATTCACACAGGCATTAGCGATATAAAGTAAGGGCATGAAGCTTACAAACACAGTTTCTACCTTGCATTTCAGAACTAGATGGAAGGTCTGGCAAATTACGACCTTGAATTAAGTCTTTTGGTTCAGAGTATCCTTTTAAAATTTTATCCCCACCATTGCAAATATGATGTTCATCCATATCATCAACTGGTAGACCCTTGTACATTGTGCCATTTGACATCTTGCCCGTCAAAGTCGGATGAAATGTATTAACGTGATTCATGTTCATAGTCACATGATCCACGACAGGTTTCATACCAAGTCGATTATTGTTATGTTTTCGCTTCTTATGGCGAATGATGATAAATAGAACAATTACAAATAAAACAACAATGAGGAAAGCTAGAGCTCCAATGATAATTCCAATATATTGCTCTTCAAAAGATTTCTTCTCCTCTGTTTTATGTATATCATTCTCATTATGTTTTCTGCCTACATCAACTGGTACATAGTCATCATGGTTATGATCAGAACCTGCAACAAATATAATATTCACAATTTTTATATTTAAACATTTTGATATTTTACGTATAAATGAAGCAAGTACATGACTTGTATGTTGTATCAAGAAATCAAGGCTTATTACAAACTCACCCTTGATAAAAATGGGTGTCAATAGTGCATTTTAGTACATTGTGATGTAAAAACAACAATAACTACTTTATCATAACAACCATTCTCCATTTTTTTGCTGTTGATTAATGTTTACTTCCACTTTGAAAATTAGATTTATTTTTCTCATTTTCTCAACAGTTTCACATTAATTTAACAAGTTTACATAACACATGCTGTTAACAGTGTTGGGTGGGGAATATCAACCCACATTAACTAAATGCACAGCTTGGTAGTGTAATTCTAGAACATATTCCAACGAAATTAAACCACTAATCAAGTCATTTATTTTACATTTAACATTTTGCACAAAATAAAGTTTATCTATAAAATCTATCATATTTCACATAAAATAATATGTAAAACACATTTTTTACATATTTCTTAATGGATATTTCTGGAACAGCTAAAACAGTAATTTCCTAAACAAATAATCCTTCAGGGAATGACAAATTCTGTAACTAATTTTTACATTTGTTAATTTTATATTAAAACTTGATGCCAAACCATGTAATATGATTTTATATAGTTCATACAATTGGCATATAATTAAGAAAACATGTGTAGGCATTTGATAATCTTGATAAATCTGCTACAAGGGACTGTATAATCAGTTGTTAAAATTCTTTCATGTAAGTACAGCAAAACTAGTACGCACTAAATACAATGGACTTACAGATAGCATACTAGATACATGTATACAATACAATGGTTCAAAAGTGACTAAATTCAAGCTATAAGGGTGGAGTATGACCTAAAGTTACATGACTTTCACTGTTTTCATTCAGTTTAGAACCACCAGCCCTTCCACAAACCTCACATGATCCAACAAGAATTCAAACCTTTACTAATATACAAACAAGCAGACCACCTTCATATTATGAATATATTTATAAAGTATTGAAATAGCCTTTACTGTTGTTAAATATACAAAGAAAGTACTTTTAACAAAAAAACACAAAAATTAATGTATCAAATTATGCAAAAAATAACTGTTATTCTGTAAGTTACATCAGGTAAAACAAGCAAAGTCAGTAGTACTGTTCTTACAGACAATAGCCAGCATATATTACAGGAACAACAAAATAATATAATATACATATTTCTATCTGCATAACAAAGACCCTTAATTAAAATCTTGATGACATGAATTCACTTTCAAGTGAACACTTAACTTCAGCCAGAAATGATTTTTTTAAGATCACCAAGGGCCATTAACAGTCAACTTCCATGTCAAAGTTATTGACCTTTGAAAGTGACCTCAAATGATGATCATAAAGATTGAAGTGATATACTGCATGGAAAACTTTAAACAGGACACATTTTAAGGTCCATAATTCTTAAAATCCATGTTCAAGTAAAGGACTTTGAAGAGTGACCTATTATGATATCAAAGACATGTGTGATATTACAAGCAATAAGTTTTAAAAATATTTTATATTTACCTAGATCTATTGTAGGTCCACTGGAGTTTGGATCAGCCACCATTTCTTGACCCTTATTTTTGCCAGCCTGTTTCACTGTTGTTGTAGAAACTGTAGTTGGGGGAGGCAACTCATTAGTAAAGTTTCCAAATGCAGGTTCTGTAATTCAAATAAATATTATTTAACAATCAAAGAAAAATCAAATAAATTAGAAAAGGCAAATGTTTTTTGTCTTTTTTGTGTGTTTTTGTTGGTTTGTTTGTTGCTGTTTTTTTGGAAGGAAGGGTGACCTGTTGTTTGGTCTCATCAATTGTGGCAATACAGACCTATCTAAATCTACAATTCATGTTTCATTCAATACACACCTGTGTCTTATACTACTTAAAGCACAACCTTAAACTAAAATCAAATTAATACAAATAGATTTTCCATCCAGTATTTTCCATCCATCAAATCTTCGACATTGAATAAAGAGGAATGTGAATAAAAAAACATGTTTTGCAAATAAATGACATTCTATTAAAAGATGCACCTCAATACAGGGGTTTTAACTTTAGTTTCACATAGTATTCACAAAATTTGTGATATTAACTAAAACAATTATCAGCAATATATAGGGAAAGTGAAATTGGATGCAAATGCATTTTAGCAATTTGCCACAATTCTCATGTGTCTACAGACCACCTTGCTTTCCAATAATACTTTATTTGAATTTCAACACAATTCCCCCAGGACAGTTTCTGCCTGAGCATTTCTGGAGGCATAGACAGTTTTTCAAATTGATTTGATTTTTTTTTGTATTTTAATCCATTAGTCTAGCACAATTGTTTAAACATGCATAAAACCAAACCACAGAATAATATTATTTATATTGGTTATACATCAGGGGAGTCCTTCATAAGAAAACAGTATTATAGAATTTTATACAATATCTCAAAAAATGTTTGCATTTTCCATTAACCAATCACTCTTCTCACCTAAGTCAGCTACTTAACATAGTTAAATGGAAAATTCTTCAAGAAAAAAAAAACTTCAATCTTTGGTTGTTTAATTGATAATGTAAGCAGAACATAAACATTTAAAGCAGTGGAGATTAAGCACGAATATGACATCAGAAGGGAGAAAATACTTACTGGATTCAAACTGCACCTCACTGATTAAAATCCATTTGGCATCAAAATAAAGTTCTAATTTTATATATCTTGCATTAATATGATCCAACTTAATATAAACATTTCGTGCATATTCCACAACTGTGTCACGTATGAAGTAGAACTTGTCTTTTTTCTGTTTGAAGTATTTTCCACCAATACTGTAATGAATAACTGCTGTTTTAAACACTCTGTTGTCTTTTGTAAAGTAATTGTTACAAAATAACATCACAGACGAAAAGTTTCGAACTGTATTGAATTTAAATAAGATTTCAACCGGACCGGGGTCGATTAAAGTATCATTTTTCCAGCCGACCCACTCATATCCTTTTATTCCAAGATTCTGTGGGTCAAGACGAAAGTTTGTGTCTCCCTCCTCCCCATCAGTTAACTGTCCAAGCCCATCATGTAGGTAGTTCTGGCTTATTATACCGTCATACGTAAAATCAAAGAAGTCGACCTCAGCACCACGTTTATCTCCCTGTCTCATAGAATATGACACGATGCCGTCTGAAACAGTCATTAACATATTTAGATGTCAATTAAGCTAAAAGACAATGATTACCTAAAAGTACAGAACAAAATTTATATTTTCAGTGAAAGAAACAACAACAAAATAATTGAGCATGTAAAAGTTGATGAAAAATTATCATTAATGTGTTGTTAATATTAATCTTTTTATTTGGTTCCATTATAGCTCGAATTGACTCTTGACTACATAATGTTACGCATGATTTTGTACAACTATTGGATCATTTTTATAAAAACAAATGTATGTACATGTATATAAACAATCTAAAATAAATACATATTTAAACAAGATATGTTTGTAAAACATGTATGCCCCCTATCAGCAGCCAATTAGTCATGTGATAAGGTTATTATGCATGACTTCTGACCCAGTGATCAAACAATTAATAAGGGTTATAAAGTATCTACTGGTCATGACCTTGACCTTTGACCCCTTGACCCCAAAATCAATAGGGGTCATCTGCTGGTCACGACCAATCATCAAACAAAGTTGAAGTTCCTAGGCCTAGGCGTTTTTAGTAAATTGATCAGAAACCGTTTTTACCTACAAGGTCAATGTGACCTTGACCTTTTGACCCCTTGACCCCAAAATCCAATAGGGGTCATCTGCTGGTCATGACCAATCACCATGCCAAGTTTGAAGTTCTTAGGCCTAAGGGTTCTCTTATTATTGATCGGAAACCGTTTTAACATACAAGGTCAATGTGACCTTGACCTTTGACCCAAAATCAATAGGGGTCATCTGCTGGTCATGACCAATCACCATGCCAAGTTTGAAGTTTTCTAGGCCGAAGCGTTCTTTATTATTGATCAGAATCTTTTTACTTACAAGGTCATTGTGACTTGAACCTTTGACCCTTTGATCCCAAAATCAATAGGTGTAATCTGCTGGTCATGACAAATCACCATACCAAGTTTGAAGTTCCTAGGCCTAAGCATTCTTGAATTATTGATCAGAAACCGTTTTTACTTAAAAGGTCAATGTGACCTTTGACCCCTTGACCCCAAAATCTATACGGGTCATCTACTGATCATGACCAATCACCATTCCAAGTTTGAAGTTCCTAGGCCTTAAGGTTCTTTAGTTATTGATCGGAAACCGTTTTTACCTACAAGGTCAATGTGACCTTGACCTTTGACCCCTAGACCCCAAAATCAATAGGGGTCATCTACTGATCATGACCAATCACCATCTCAAGTTTGAAGTCCCTAGGCCTAAGGGTTCTTTCATTATTGATCGGAAACCGTTTTTACCTACAAGGTCAATGTGACCTTGACCTTTGACCCCTTAACGCCAAAATCAATACAGGTCATCTGATTGGTCATAACAATCACCATACCAAGTTCCTAGGCCTAAGGTTTCTTTTGTTATTGATCAGAAACCGGTTTTAATTAAAAGGTCAATGTGACCTTGACTTTTGACCCTTGACCCCAAAATCTATACGGGTCATCTACTGATCATGACCAATCACCATACCAAGTTGAAGTTCCTAGGCTTAAGGTTCTTTAGTTATTGATCGGAAACCGTTTTTACCTACAAGGTCAATGTGACCTTGACCTTTGACCCCTGACCCCAAAATCAATAGGGTCATCAACTGATGATGACCAATCACCATACCAAGTTTGAAGTTCCTAGGCCTAAGGGTTCTTTTGTTATTGATCAGAAACCGTTTTTAATTAAAAGGTCAATGTGACCTTGACCTTTGACCCCTTGACCCCAAAATCTATACGGTCATCTACTGATCATACAATCACCATACCAAGTTTGAAGTTCCTAGGCCTTAAGGTTCTTTAGTTATTGATCGGAAACCGTTTTTACCTACAAGGTCAATGTGACCTTGACCTTTGACCCCTTGACCCCAAAATTAATAGGGGTCATTCTACTGATCATGACAATCACCATACCAAGTTTGATGTTCCTAAGCCTTAAGGTTCTTTAGGTATTGAATCGGAAACCGTTTTTTACCTACAAGGTCAATGTGACCTTGACCTTTGACCCCTTGACCCCAAAATCAATAGGGGTCATCTACTGATCATGACCAATCACCATACCAAATTTGAAGTTCCTAGGCCTTAAGGTTCTTTAGTTATTGATCGGAAACCGTTTTTGCTTTCAAGGTCAATGTGACCTTGAACCTTTGACCCTTTGACCCCAAAATCAATAGGGGTCATCTTACTGGTCATGACCAATCACCATACCAAGTTTGAAGTTCCTAGGCCTTAAGGTTCTTTAGTTATTGATCGAAACCGTTTTTGCTTTCAAGGTCAATGTGACCTTGACCTTTGACCCCTTGACCCAAAATCAATAGGGTCATCTACTGGTCATGACCAATCACCATACAAGTTTGAAGTTCCTAGGCCTTAAGGTTCTTTAGTTATTGATCGGGAAACCGGTTTTGCTTTCAAGGTCAATGTGACCTTGACCTTTTGACCCCTTGACCCCAAAATCAATGGGGTCATCTACTGGTCATGACCAATCACCATACCAAGTTTTGAAGTTCCTAGGCCTAAGGGTTCTTTAGTTATCACTCGGAAACCATTTGGTCTACGGACCGACGGACCGACGGACCGACGGACCGACGGACCGACAAGTGCAAAGCAATATACCCCCTTTTTTTCAAAATGGGGGCATAAATATATCAACACTATAAATTTTCTACACCTGTGACCTAGATAACAAATAATTTAACTCCCCTTTATTTCAAGCACTTGAAGAATACCATGAATAAAATACTTGCATACAAAAAATTGCCATTTCATGCAGTTTGAGTAATTCATAGGGATTCAGATTTCATTATGACAAAATTCTACCTTAGTATCATACATCTGTTCTGATTTACATCAAATCAGGTTATACAAAACTGAAGAAACCCATGAAGTTAACAATTTCAAAATCTTCTAGCTCCATGTTCCTACTTCTTTTCTCCTTCATTAAAAATTCCGAGCAAATTCCACTCATATCAAATAACTTGTAATTTTATACTATACAGAGTTTTTCCAACACAAATGATCTTAGTTTTGGCCAAAATAAGTTAAATTAATCTAAATTGCTGACTTATTCCAAGCTCTTCTGGTGAGCAAGAGTTCTAAGGGTGATTTAAACTGGGTAAATCAGCAAACCTTCCATGAAGTAACAAGATATTTTCACATTACAAACATCAGGCTCTGGTGTTTGAATTTGTACAATATGACAAGAGATTATCAGCCAAAAAGGTTGTGACATTATTCATCACTTTAAATAACCACATAGAACTGAGAAACATTCATTCATAGATTTTACTAATGTGACAAAATTGATAAAATCTTTTCATGCATTAAAACTGCAATGACTTATGAACTAAATAAAAATTTCCTTGCATTTTTTTTCAAAGAATACAATTTCCTTGTAATTAAATGAAATCTCCTACTATTAGGTCCTAACCATAAAATGTTTATTTCAACAAAAACAAAATTCAATTTAAATGTTTCAGTTGTACGAATTAGATTCTGCCAAGTTATAAACAAAATTGGCAAATTTCAAAAAAAAAGGAAATAATAAAAAGACATAAAGAAAATTACTGAAGAAATGTTTTCCTTTTTTTTAAAAACTAGTTTGAAATTCTGTGAAATATTTTGACACATGTATCAAGGAATACAATCTTGAATACAATTTACTGAATTATATGACAGTAGGAAAACTAGGCTTTTTCTGATTTTATTTTTCTTATCACATGACCATAGAATATTATATCAGACTGCTGGCTCTATACTGGTGGCAAAGGCTTAAAATGCTTTTGGTTCCAGCACTTTAAGGGTTAAGAATTTCTTGCCATCCCAATCTTATTGCTTCAAGAATTCCTTTAAGATAAAATTGCCCATCAAGTTCTGTGACAGAGGGACAGACGTTTAATAGATTTTTGTTTAATAGAGGGCCAATGGCCCCTTACTCTAATGTTACGGAATAAATTCTATTGTTCTCTTTTGTTCTGTTTACAGTGAGATAAAATATGTTGATGGCAACAGCAGTTGACTGCATGACTGTACTGTAGCAATAGCACAATTTTCTTTCTTAGACAAAAAATAAAGGTGAATTAATCAACTATGTTGCTTTTGGTTAAAATATTTATTTCTTGTTTCAAAATTTGCTTTTTTAAAAATTCAGAACACTTTTTTGCAGTTTAATAGTTTTTTACAAGCGATCATCTGAATTCTGGCTGATAATTGTATCCTTGATATGAAAAACTTTGGCAAGTACCTTCCCATGTACATCCATACAGTTCCACTCGAAGACACACTGTGCGTGGATTACGGCAGTACGGGATAAAACGTATACGTTTTCCAATGATGGGTGGAGATACTTGACGCAGCTCTGCCGAGTAGGTGTTACCATTCCCCTCAAAACGCTGTGAATATAAAATTGAAATTATTCAAGAGGTGCAATTCATAAAATCTGTGAAACAAAACTTGAAAATATTATGCAGGTGATAATAGTTTGTGGAAAAATCTAACTGTCTAATTATAATTCTGAATTTAATAATTAAACAATAACCATCAAGTGTAACCATCAAAACTTCCATGCTCAATTAGGTTTTACACAGACTAGCAGGAAGTTAACAAAATGAAAATAAAAATCTCTTTTTAAAACAACTGCCATACAATTTCAACATGGCAATAAAATCTGAAGAAAACACACAAAACAATTACTCATTTACTAGGCACTGTTTTTATATTTTTGACATAACAATCTAATTATTCCATTCTCTTCATTTTGACAGGAGTAGCATGAAAACCAAGGAGAAAGGAATCTAGATTGCTGCATGTTTTTACTATCTTTTTACTTGTTTTCCCTGACAGTCGTTGAGAGTCAGACTAATTACTGAAATCGAGCTCTCCCTCCAGTCCATGCAATCTTAACAAAGTTACAGAGAGCAACATCTTTCCCTGAATTTTGTCTGTGAAAAAAATATAATGATACCAGTGGAACCAATGATACCTTTGGTGACTCAACATACAAACAAATGTCTCTTAACATTTTTTTATGTGTGTGTTTTGTCAGCCGGCTCTGGGAAAATTTTGCTATGATCTTAATTGTGTGATAACGAGGTTTTCCAAGCTATCTAAACATGGCTACAATTCTTCTACAAATACTGTCAATGGCAAGGAACATTTAATATAAAAGCTTCCCCATTGCAATTGCTTTGTTCTCCTACACCATCATAGAGAAAGCCAAAAGATAATGTGAGATTTCTTTTCTATCTTTATTTATAACAAAGATCCAGCTTCAGGGTGCCAATCTGATTACAAAGGAAAAAGAAAAATCCATGTAATTCTAGAATAGGAAAGTTTCTGTAATCACTGCTTAGTAGTTTGTCTGTAAACCTTTGAAAAGTAAAATGGCCCTGCGTCTTAAAATAATTCATCAATTCATTCACCTATCCCAAATCTTTAACACAACTATAATTATGACTTTGTTTAAATATTAATATTTTAAATAAGGATTTTTCCCAGCTAATCCGTAGGTACAAACAAACCTTTACCGTTTTAGCTTCAAGGCGCACAACCTGTCAACCTGTTGTGCTGACTAAAAAATGAGAAAAATCCAAATATTCTTAATTTTGGAGTAAGTCTATTTCGGGTCCATGTTTAGGGGCACCAACTCTACATAGTTTGACCAGTACAAACCGCAAATAACATTCTGCATGTGCAAGACCAAAGTGACCCTCTTATACTGGAAATTTTCAGTTCAAAAAGTGTCATGAAATCAAAGACAAATATCAGCTGTAACTAGACTAACATTCAAACTGTCAGATTAACTAAACTGTTTCAATATTTAGCAGACAATCACTTTTATGCCCTTTTGCAGTAAATGTCAAACTATTCTTTATTTTCCTTTAAACTACATTTGTACAATAACTGAATTTGTTCAAGAAAACAAAAAAAAATCTCTCAGAAGTTAAAACAACTGTAAACAGTATCAACTTTGACATAAAGTAAACAGCCATCCATTAAAATATCATATTTAATCATAATGAAAATATTTCAGATATCATATTCTTTGAGATCAGACGAAATGGGCTCTAAAAGAAAGTTGTTGTTTTTTTCCTTCATTTTTTTTCCTACACTGAGGCTATATGAGCATATAATATGTATAATATCATAAGATGCTTGCAAATTCTAATGAATAGGGTCAATTCTCTCCTATCAGCAACAAAGGCATCAACATTTTACTTTGTCAGTTTATTTCCACATTTGATTTTGTTTCTGTACAACACATATTCAGGGAACTGCATGGTTTATAAAATGTTTCTAATTAAAGGACAATGGTTTTTAAAATCCTTTAAAGATGACAGAAATGTGATAGCTTTAGGACAGCCTTTTAAATAAAATTCCCAATTACATGTACTATCATTTTATAACATTTTACATTTCTAAAATTTCTCAATATTGTCAGACTTTATTACAAAGTTTTATGTCAGTTTTGTTTCTGAAATTATTTTTTTTTCTGAATATAAAACATAGGTAAATATATTCCAGGGAAATTGACGTTTTTTTTAACTTTGACACATCGAATTAGGAGTGATAAGTTCACAACACCATGTCCAATCTGATTATTTTGTTTCCCCTAATATGTTCAACATTATATTATTGGTCAGTGACAAAGCAGGCATGATTCATCTATAATATCAGACAATGTAGTCACTAAACATGGAAAGATATTGTGAGAAAACTGAACAATGTATGAATCATGCTGTTACAATTCCACTGGAGAAATTGTTAGCCAGTTATAACTGTCAAGATTTTCTCCTGTATATTCCAAAATCCACATTAAACTTTGTTCATGTAGTAATTTCTTAATTGTGTGCAACAAGCATTAACTTTTCTGCAAGTTTGAAATGAATTTGTTATGTTTTGAATTCCTAATTTTTCAATTTTTAATAAAACTTGTATTCATGGTGATAACATTCTAGACTCCAATTAAGATTCACATTTTGTTTTAATTTATTTATTCAGCCTAATTAAATTTTTAATCTTTCATCAAAAAGATCATCATTCTCTATTTTTTGTTAACTATTAATATGTTTATGAAATTCCAAGAAATTATCCATTCTATTCATAGAACACAATGGTTAACCATAGACAATTACTAGGTATTGATTAATTAAAATGACAAGAGAGTAGAAAACAGAATTATAAATTGATGTCTGGGGAAGTTCTCTCACACAATAAGTACATGCTTCCACTTTTATTGCTGCAAACTGTCAGACATTTTGTACTATTCAGCACTATTTATCTTTGGCATCTGATTTACATCTAATATAACAACTATTTTTGGTAGTAAAAACATTTCATCTCTTTGAAAAGCAATATTTTAACAAAAATGAATTACTTAAGATTAATTTTTTTGATACTAATTATCCAAAAATAGATAAAGTATCATTCAATATGCACAGGAGATATAAAACATGTGCTTATGTAAAATGTTAAACGATTTGAGCACATTTTGTAGCAGTCTTGGTAGTTTTCAATCTGGGTTATAGCAGTTAGCCACTTTGAATTCACCAGAACAAGTTGGTTACCAGTACTAGTTGACTTCACTTTCAGAAGGAACTGATAACTTCTGTACATGCCCGGGCAAAGGTACAGTGATAATGACCATAGAATTAATCACATATAAGGTGACCTGCACTGTCCAGGAATCAAACCCAGGTCCTGATTCACAGTCCCAACGCTCTACCTATTTTGCAACAGTTCACTGCAGACAAATCATTATAAACATTGGAAACATAAAAAATCTAATTATGGTAAACAAACAAAAGTGCTAGACTATTCTCTCAGTTCTTGATAGTAAAACAAGAGTCTGATTAAAGTATAATTAACTAAGTTCAAAAAAGACCATTATACTGTCAAAATCCATGTGGAGTTATGGGCCTTTGTCAGTGACCTTCAATTATGCTCTCAAATGAGTGTTCAAATCATTCCCTTTAGCACTTTTGGAGATACCAACTTGTCCACAAAAAGTTAAGTGTGACGAACAAACTGGCTGTCTCATACCATGTTCTGGTTATTTGGGACGCCAACACGACTGGAACAAACTGGCTGTCTCATACCATGTTCTGGTTATTTGGGACGCCAACATGACTGGAACAAACTGGCTGTCTCATACCATGTTCTGGTTATTTGGGACGCCAACATGACTGGAACAAACTGGCTGTCTCATACCATGTTCTGGTTATTTGGGACGCCAACACGACTGGAACAAACTGGCTGTCTCATACCATGTTCTGGTTATTTGGGACGCCAACACGACTGGAACAAACTGGCTGTCTCATACCATGTTCTGGTTATTTGGGACGCCAACATGACTGGAACAAACTGGCTGTCTCATACCATGTTCTGGTTATTTGGGAACTGTTGGCAGCATCAAAATAATGGTTTATTTAAACATCATGAAAATATATTAATTTTAATTTGGGATGTCCAGAAAGGCACAATTAAGCAGATTGCACCTTATTTAACAGCGGTGGTCAATTGCACAGTTTTGATGAAGTCTGGTTGGTTGATTTTGAAAATATCTTTAATCAGAGTTAAAATCTTTACGTTTTTTTTTACTTTGAACTGAATTTTTATTCTCTGCTTTGTAACTGTAGACTGGCATATGCTCTATGTTCCACTACAGGGTCAAATTCTGGAAGAAGAATATTTATAAGAACTGGTTCACATTCAGCCAAAAGTTGAAAAACTTATTTATAAAATAGTCTTGAACTTATTCCTACCTGTAAACTGAGTGATACCATGATAATTTAAAATAGCATTTTTGATATCATTTACATAGAAACATGTAGAGTCATGTTCTTTATAATGGCAGAGATGAAAGGTTGAAGATTTGTCCTTTTATTCACTGATAAGATAAACTGTCTGAGCAAATCAATCTGTCAATAAACCATTAATTGACCAATAAATAATTCTTTTTTTTACTTTTTGTCCTGAATATGTCTTCCATTTTACAAATTTGAGATTAGAAACCAATGCCTGCATGATAACCTGTCTAGGCTGTCAACCATTCTCTGATAAAAGAAAAAGTTCCTGGAACTACGTTTTCTTCATAAATCAAATTAGTGCCCAATTAGTAACTTTTGGTTGTCTCTTACCAGCAAGATAGTGTTTTGTATATAGCCCATTATTTTAGATTTGTTTTTTTTTTTTTTTTTTTTTTTTTTTTTTTTTTTTTTTTTTTTTTTTTTTTTTTTTTTTTTGAGGCCCCAACTGGGTAACCCCGTTTATTTTCCTCGTTATAGGTCTGAAGGGGTCGAGGGCATCCCCATCATACCTTACATGTATTGCAAATATAATTCAATCATAATGTATATATCAATCAAGTCATATAATTATACAAACATCTCAA